TAAGTTACTACATATCTTCAACAAGTACAACAAATGATATTGTATGATCTTCAGACCATTCTGAAGTTTACATGCACGATGCATATAATGACAAGAGGCAGTTTGCTTTCACCAAATCTCAAACTAAGTCTGACTGATATATTCAGACATGTGTAATGAAAAGAATAAACACATCAACCATGAGATTTCAGCCAAGGAGATTGGTGCGAGTTTTGACTGCAGTTATTGTGTTGTGGCTCGGTGTTACATTGGTGCGGTATCTATGGCAGACCACATCTTCGCTGTGGGAGGAAGAAGACATAGATCTGGGGCCCCTAGAGTCGGATACGGATATCCCCCAGGCTTTCCTCAGATCATCAGAGGGAACCTCGACACCTGTGGTTGTCGTGGAGGAGCACTATGAAGGTTAGGAACATATTTATTGACTTCAAATATTATTTGGTGCCAATATATTATAACGTCTTGTGTAAGGATTTATCCAGCAGAGCTTGTAATTTTCTATACTGGTTCCACTGTCCGTTCAGGTAGCAAGCTTAGTGCTTTGAGGCCAACAGGCAGATGCCAAAACATTTGGTACAAATCTGTTGTGTCGTTTAATGCCGCACTCAGCAATATTCCAGCTATATGACAACAGTCGGTAAATAGTCAAGTCTGGACAAGACAATCCAGTGATGATCATCAATCTATGCAGTTACTTATGTACAGATGTAAATAGACATGGAGTCATGTCAACATCTTGAAAGTTTATTTGTTCCAATAGAAAATAGAGCAAACATCTCCGCTGATGTTACTATTAGGGTGAGCAATATACTCTCACAACCTTCATGTTCCTCCATTTGTTTTCATGTGATAGTAGGAACCAATGAAAGCTGTGTTCACTGTCATCCAATCACAACCTATGATAAGTCACCACCTCTCCCTTTGGGGACATGTCAAGGGTCATAGCGGGCCAGTTCAATGTCCGTATGCCTTCTCCTCGGAGAGAATCGGTGATGACGTGGGCATGATGTGGTCTGTCATTGCCATCTTGCCCTTAAAAATTTCTGCCAATGTTTCTAGCAAATGGAACAACGAAAAGATGCAAAATGTTGTCAAAATTATGCTTGCCACTATGTCACCAACATTTTCTGCCATCTGTGAAATGGAGGCAAAACCTTGATTCGTCTGTAAACATGGTCTTACGACATTGGCGCACAACCCGTTCCTGGTATTGCCTACTCCATCCCGATCTTTGCCGCCTGTGGTAACCTGTTAGCATGGTTAGAGTCACACCCTTCACAGAACACCTTGCTTTCAGACGGGCTGCATAGAGTCAGTTTATAACAGTAGATATTGAAATTTGCCTTCCTGTTATTGTATGGAATTCTCTATCCATAACAGGAACAGATTTGAATCTAGGTGCACACACTTTGGCTTCTGTGTGCACGTGCATCGCATGCTCGTGCATGATGTGATATTTCATTGTGATTAGATGTTGCTTTCAGATGCAATGCCATGATGTTGTAAATGATAGCTACATTCAAATCATTAGGGAGACAAGGTTTGGGCAAAAGTTGTTTAATTCCTCTTTGTTAGTGTGCCAACTCAAAGTGTATGATATAGATCACTCTAGCAGTGATTCAGATCATAAGGACTAGTGGCAATTCTTCCCAAGTTGTGTGTTTGATTTCTGCCATGTTGATCCCTGTGTTCTAGTGTTGAAGTACTGGTTTGCTGCATCGGAGAGTGGGCTCGTGCCACAGACGGGAAACGTCCTGGTGAGTTCCAGAAACTGTACATCATGGATACACTCTTCCTCTAAAACAAGCACCCAATTCTTGTTGGTGACTAGAATGTAATAGCCCCATAGTGAAGGTGTGGACCCAAGTACCCCATGCTTGTAATAAGAACAACAGCCCCATAGTGAAGGTGTGGACCCAAGTACCCCATGCTTGTAATAAGATTATAAACCTATTCATTGGGATCTCTATTAAGTAAGAGAGTTCTTTCTATATGCATTAAAAACCTATTGTGACCGGCTTCGCCCCCTTGGTTTTTCCCTCTCCCCAGGGCATGCTCTGTCTACCAAAACCTCGTAAGCGTGTTTTCTCCAATCCATAACAGCTCCATAGTGAAGGTGTGGACCCAAATACCCCCTGCTTGTAATAAGAATAACAGCACCATAGTGAAGGTGTGGACCCAAGTACCCCCTGCTTGTAATAAGAATAACAGCTCCATAGTGAAGGTGTGGACCCAAGTACCCCATGCTTGTAATAAGAACAGCTCCATAGTGAAGGTGTGGACCCAAGTACCCCCTGCTTGTAATAAGAATAACAGCCCCATAGTGAAGGTGTGGACCCAAGTAACCCCTGCTTGTAATAAGAACAACAGCTCCATAGTGAAGGTGTGGACCCAAGTAACCCCTGCTTGTAATAAGAACAACAGCTCCATAGTGAAGGTGTGGACCCAAGTACCCCCTGCTTGTAATAAGAATAACAGTTCCATAGTGAAGGTGTGGACCCAAGTAACCCCTGCTTGTAATAAGAATAACAGCTCCATAGTGAAGGTGTGGACCCAAGTACCCCATGCTTGTAATAAGAATAACAGCTCCATAGTGAAGGTGTGGACCCAAGTACCCCATGCTTGTAATAAGAATAACAGCCCCATAGTGAAGGTGTGGACCCAAGTACCCCCTGCTTGTAATAAGAATAACAGCCCCATAGTGAAGGTGTGGACCCAAGTACCCCCTGCTTGTAATAAGAATAACAGCCCCATAGTGAAGGTGTTGACCCAAGTACCCCCTGCTTGTAATAAGAATAACAGCTCCATAGTGAAGGTGTGGACCCAAGTACCCCCTGCTTGTAATAAGAATAACAGCTCCATAGTGAAGGTGTGGACCCAAGTACCCCATGCTTGTAATAAGAATAACAGCTCCATAGTGAAGGTGTGGACCCAAGTAACCCCTGCTTGTAATAAGAACAACAGCTCAATAGTGAAGGTGTGGACCCAAGTACCCCCTGCTTGTAATAAGAACAACAGCTCCATAGTGAAGGTGTGGACCCAAGTAACCCCTGCTTGTAATAAGAACAACAGCTCCATAGTGAAGGTGTGGACCCAAGTACCTCCTGCTTGTAATAAGAATAACAGCTCCATAGTGAAGGTGTGGACCCAAGTACCCCATGCTTGTAATAAGAATAACAGCTCCATAGTGAAGGTGTGGACCCAAGTAACCCCTGCTTGTAATAAGAACAACAGCTCAATAGTGAAGGTGTGGACCCAAGTACCCCCTGCTTGTAATAAGAATAACAGCTCCATAGTGAAGGTGTGGACCCAAGTACCCCATGCTTGTAATAAGAACAACAGCTCCATAGTGAAGGTGTGGACCCAAGTACCCCATGCTTGTAATAAGAAGAACAGCTCCATAGTGAAGGTGTGGACCCAAGTAACCCCATGCTTGTAATAAGAACAGCTCCATAGTGAAGGTGTGGACCCAAGTACCCCCTGCTTGTAATAAGAATAACAGCCCCATAGTGAAGGTGTGGACCCAAGTACCCCATGCTTGTAATAAGAACAGCTCCATAGTGAAGGTGTGGACCCAAGTAACCCCTGCTTGTAATAAGAACAACAGCTCCATAGTGAAGGTGTGGACCCAAGTACCCCCTGCTTGTAATAAGAATAACAGCTCCATAGTGAAGGTGTGGACCCAAGTAACCCCTGCTTGTAATAAGAACAACAGCTCCATAGTGAAGGTGTGGACCCAAGTACCCCCTGCTTGTAATAAGAACAACAGCTCCATAGTGAAGGTGTGGACCCAAGTAACCCCTGCTTGTAATAAGAACAACAGCTCCATAGTGAAGGTGTGGACACAAGTACCCCATGCTTGTAATAAGAATAACAGCTCCATAGTGAAGGTGTGGACCCAAGTACCCCATGCTTGTAATAAGAATAACAGCTCCATAGTGAAGGTGTGGACCCAAGTAACCCCTGCTTGTAATAAGAACAACAGCTCCATAGTGAAGGTGTGGACCCAAGTAACCCCTGCTTGTAATAAGAACAACAGCTCCATAGTGAAGGTGTGGACACAAGTACCCCATGCTTGTAATAAGAACAACAGCTCCATAGTGAAGGTGTGGACACAAGTACCCCATGCTTGTAATAAGAATAACAGCTCCATAGTGAAGGTGTGGACCCAAGTACCCCATGCTTGTAATAAGAAGAACAGCCCCATAGTGAAGGTGTGGACCCAAGTACCCCATGCTTGTAATAAGAATAACAGCTCCATAGTGAAGGTGTGGACCCAAGTACCCCATGCTTGTAATAAGAATAACAGCTCCATAGTGAAGGTGTGGATCCAAGTAACCCCTGCTTGTAATAAGAACAACAGCTCCATAGTGAAGGTGTGGATCCAAGTACCCCCTGCTTGTAATAAGAATAACAGCTCCATAGTGAAGGTGTGGACCCAAGTAACCCCTGCTTGTAATAAGAATAACAGCTCCATAGTGAAGGTGTGGACCCAAGTAACCCCTGCTTGTAATAAGAACAACAGCTCCATAGTGAAGGTGTGGACCCAAGTAACCCCTGCTTGTAATAAGAATAACAGCCCCATAGTGAAGGTGTGGACCCAAGTAACCCCTGCTTGTAATAAGAACAACAGCTCCATAGTGAAGGTGTGGACCCAAGTACCCCATGCTTGTAATAAGAACAACAGCTCCATAGTGAAGGTGTGGACCCAAGTACCCTATGCTTGTAATAAGAATATCAGCTCCATAGTGAAGGTGTGGACCCAAGTACCCTATGCTTGTAATAAGAATATCAGCTCCATAGTGAAGGTGTGGACCCAAGTACCCCCTGCTTGTAATAAGAATAACAGTCCCATAGTGAAGGTGTGGACCCAAGTAACCCCTGCTTGTAATAAGAATAACAGCTCCATAGTGAAGGTGTGGACCCAAGTACCCCATGCTTGTAACAATAATAACAGCCCCATAGTGAAGGTGTGGACCCAAGTACCCCATGCTTGTAATAAGAATAACAGCACCATAGTGAAGGTGTGGACCCAAGTACCCCCTGCTTGTAATAAGAATAACAGCTCCATAGTGAAGGTGTGGACCCAAGTACCCCATGCTTGTAACAATAATAACAGCCCCATAGTGAAGGTGTGGACCCAAGTACCCCATGCTTGTAATAAGAATAACAGCTCCATAGTGAAGGTGTGGACCCAAGTACCCCATGCTTGTAATAAGAATAACAGCTCCATAGTGAAGGTGTGGACCCAAGTACCCCATGCTTGTAACAATAATAACAGCCCCATAGTGAAGGTGTGGACCCAAGTACCCCATGCTTGTAATAAGAATAACAGCACCATAGTGAAGGTGTGGACCCAAGTACCCCATGCTTGTAATAAGAAGAACAGCTCCATAGTAAAGGTGTGGACCCAAGTACCCCATGCTTGTAATAAGAATAACAGCTCCATAGTGAAGGTGTGGACACAAGTACCCCCTGCTTGTAATAAGAATAACAGTTCCATAGTGAAGGTGTGGACCCAAGTACCCCATGCTTGTAATAAGAATAACAGTCCCATAGTGAAGGTGTGGACACAAGTACCCCATGCTTGTAATAAGAATAACAGTTCCATAGTGAAGGTGTGGACCCAAGTACCCCATGCTTGTAATAAGAATATCAGCTCCATAGTGAAGGTGTGGACCCAAGTACCCCCTGCTTGTAATAAGAAGAACAGCTCCATAGTGAAGGTGTGGACCCAAGTACCCCATGCTTGTAATAAGAATATCAGCTCCATAGTGAAGGTGTGGACCCAAGTACCCCCTGCTTGTAATAAGAATAACAGCCCCATAGTGAAGGTGTGGACCCAAGTACCCCCTGCTTGTAATAAGAATAACAGCCCCATAGTGAAGGTGTGGACCCAAGTACCCCATGCTTGTAATAAGAATAACAGTCCCATAGTGAAGGTGTGGACACAAGTACCCCATGCTTGTAATAAGAATAACAGTTCCATAGTGAAGGTGTTGACCCAAGTACCCCATGCTTGTAATAAGAATAACAGCTCCATAGTGAAGGTGTGGACCCAAGTACCCCATGCTTGTATTAAGAAGAACAGCTCCATAGTGAAGGTGTGGGCCCAAGTACCCCATGCTTGTAATAAGAAGAACAGCCCCATAGTGAAGGTGTGGACCCAAGTACCCCATGCTTGTAATAAGAAGAACAGCTCCATAGTGAAGGTGTGGACCCAAGTACCCCATGCTTGTAATAAGAATAACAGCTCCATAGTGAAGGTGTGGACCCAAGTACCCCATGCTTGTAATAAGAATAACAGCTCCATAGTGAAGGTGTGGACCCAAGTAACCCCTGCTTGTAATAAGAATAACAGCTCCATAGTGAAGGTGTGGACCCAAGTACCCCATGCTTGTAATAAGAATAACAGTTCCATAGTGAAGGTGTGGACACAAGTACCCCATGCTTGTATTAAGAAGAACAGCTCCATAGTGAAGGTGTGGACCCAAGTACCCCCTGCTTGTATTAAGAATAACAGCCCCATAGTGAAGGTGTTGACCCAAGTACCCCCTGCTTGTAATAAGAATAACAGCTCCATAGTGAAGGTGTGGACCCAAGTACCCCATGCTTGTAATAAGAATAACAGTTCCATAGTGAAGGTGTGGACACAAGTACCCCATGCTTGTAATAAGAATATCAGCTCCATAGTGAAGGTGTGGACCCAAGTACCCCATGCTTGTAATAAGAATAACAGCCCCATAGTGAAGGTGTGGACCCAAGTACCCCATGCTTGTAATAAGAATAACAGCTCCATAGTGAAGGTGTGGACCCAAGTACCCCATGCTTGTAATAAGAATAACAGCTCCATAGTGAAGGTGTGGACACAAGTACCCCATGCTTGTAATGAGAGCAGACATTATAGGGGATTTCTTGTGGGACCTGTCTGAGTGTGTTATCAAGCCCAAATTTAATGGATCATTGTTTTTATTGTTTATTTATCATTTAACGCCACATTTAGCAATATTCCAGCTGTGTGACATCTATCTGTAAATAACCAAGTTTCTCCAGACAATCCAGTGATCAATGTTATGAGCAACATCCAATGTGTTATTTTTTTGCCCGACAGTTCCACATCGACGGTCACAGTGACGGTGGTGTCCCACACCAACTCGATGTGTTGCCTCTGTTCCGAGCCCCTGTCAACATCCAGGAGGTCAATAACATGATGCAAAGAAATGATGTATTTATTGTGGTAAGTACACCGTATTACAGAGAAATGATGTGTTTATTGTAAGTGCATTGTAGCACCAATGATAGACTACTACCAGTAATATACCTGCCCAAATGATAGCCCGATGAGAGACCAGTGCCGATGATCGACTAGCACCAAGGAGAGACCAGTGCCGATGATCGACTAGCACCAAGGAGAGACCAGTACCGATGATAGATTGATACCAATGAGAGACCAGTACCAATGATAGATAAGTACCAATGGCAGACCAGTACCGATGAGAGACTAGTACCGATGAGAGACCAGTACCAATGATAGATTAGTACCAATTAGAGACCAGTACCAATGATAGATTAGTACTGATGATAGACGAGTACCAATGATAGATTAGTACTGATGATAGACGAGTACCAATGATAGATTAGTACCGATGAGAGACCAGTACCAATGATAGATAAGTACCAACTAGAGACCAGTACCGATGAGAGACCAGTACCAATGAGAGACCAGTACCAATGAGAGACCAGTACCAATGAGATACCAGTACTGAAGAGAGACCAGTACCAATGATAGATTAGTACCAATGAGAGACATGTACCGATGAGAGACCAGTACCAATGATAGATTAGTACCAATGAGAGACCAGTACTGAAGAGAGACCAGTACCAATGATAGATTAGTGCCAATGAGAGACCAGTACCGATGAGAGACCAGTACCGATGAGAGACTAGTACCAATGAGAGACCACTACTGATGAGAGACCAGTACTGAAGAGACTAGTACCAATGAGAGACCAGTACCGATGAGAGACCAGTACCAATGAGAGACCAGTACCAATGAGAGACCAGTACTGAAGAGAGACCAGTACTGAAGAGACTAGTACCAATGAGAGACCAGTACTGAAGAGAGACCAGTACTGATGAGAGACCAGTACTGAAGAGACTAGTACCAATGAGAGACCAGTACTGAAGAGACCAGTACCAATGAGAGACCAGTACTGAAGAGAGACCAGTACTGAAGAGACTAGTACCAATGAGAGACCAGTACTGAAGAGAGACCAGTACTGAAGAGAGACCAGTACTGATGAGAGACCAGTACTGAAGAGACTAGTACCAATGAGAGACCAGTACCAATGAGAGACCAGTACTGAAGAGAGACCAGTACCAATGAGACCAGTACTGAAGAGAGACCAGTACCAATGAGAGACCAGTACTGAAGAGAGACCAGTACCAATGAGAGACCAGTACTGAAGAGAGACCAGTACCAATGAGAGACCAGTACTGAAGAGAGACCAGTACCGATGAGAGACCAGTACCAATGAGAGACCAGTACCAATGATATATTAGTACCGATGATAGACGAGTACCAATGATAGATTAGTACTGATGATAGACGAGTACCAGCGACATACTAATACTGGTGATAGATAAATACCGATGATAGACTTGTACCAGTGATAGATAAGTAACGTTGATAGACAAGTACCAATGATTAAACCTACAAATTGTTCTTCACTTCAGGCTGCGGCCCTTGCTGGCCTCATCGACCGCTACATCTGGGTGTGGCCTCCGTGGGATGAGCCGAATCATGAGTCTGATCACGTGATCATGGACATGCAGGTTGGGTACGTGCGCCCGTCCATGTTGGACACCGACAAGCTGGAACTGTGCTACTGCATGGAGATGCGGGACGCGGACATCAGCGAGTGTCGGATGAGGAATGTCTCAGACCCTGAAGGTGACGGAACACTGATTGGTCGGTCAGGGTGTAATCTGAACAAATCAGGAACAGTGGAGGTCGTGAGTGAACAGAAAGCCATTTCCTTGATGCAGACGAGACAGTGGATTAACTCCCATCATAGAGTTATCCTTGACATTGATGAGGACTATTATGGCTGCCAGTCCGCTGGAGAATCTGTGTACTCTACAGGAATCAAGTCAAGTGTGCTCAACTCTATATCTCATATCATGTGTGAGATGTTCTGTGCCCGAAGTGTCCACCACGAGACGCTCATCGACACATTCTTCCACACCCTTGTGCAGCTCGTCCACAGGTTAAAGACAGACGCGGAGACGGTTCTCAAAGACAGCACAAAACACAAGAAAAACCTGGAGGTACAAAAAATAGTGTTCACAATCGTACCAGAAATATTTCAACAACTGAATCAGGATCCAGTCGGGGAAATACTATGTAACAACCCCACTGACATGGTGAATGAGTTGTTCTTACAAGGAATTTTTCGCAATATAGTACACATGAATATCCAACAGTTAGCAAGTCTAGCAGAGACAGGGGTCTGCCTTCAGTTGTCACCAAAAGCCTATTTCTATGACGTAGCGAGTAGCGTCCATGTTTGTGAAGGAGCAAACTCACCCAACAGCTCAATGGTTCTTTTTCATACACCAACACCGTTCGAGGTTCATGAAAGAACAATTAATTTAAAAAAGCTACTTAATTCTAAATCAATCAATCCCTCCTTGATAACAGTGTGTCGGTCAGTGAGAGACGGGTACACACCACGTAAACTGTTCCCGCGTATCGAGGCAGACATCTTGAAGCTTCTCCATCATGTGTTCCCCGATGTTCACTATGTCTCCGTGTACCATGACAAAGACCTGCTTGGTGGCGCCAGTGGCTGGCATGACAGACACTTCCATTTTGAAAGTACTTACGTATATAAGCTTCTTCAGAAGTATCCCCTCACCAAAGAAAGCCCATATTTGTGATATCTGACAGAAGCATTTCGAAGCTGTGGTATCAGTGAATACAGACTGGACATGGATTTCAGTTGCTATTTTCTTTCAGTGCACTGATGCTTTGTACAGATGCTAGTATCCAGTGTTTGAAATAATAGCTGCCCATGGGCCAGCAGCAGGCTGATCTTGCAGGATGGCCGTAGTTTCAAGTTTGTATGGGTCCTTAAGGCCTGCAGTAAATGTACATGTCAATTTATCTGTCAAAATAAGCTGGTTTTTTTTATGAGGGCAAGAAGAGTTAAGTTAGGGTTGGTTGGTTGGTTTGTTGTTTAACGCCACACTCAGCAATATTCCAGCTATATGACAGCGTTCTGTAAATAATCGAGTCTGGACCAGACAGTCCAGTGATTGACATCATGAACATCGATCCATGCAATTGGGATCGATGACATGCATCAACCAAGTCAGTGAGCCTGACCACCCGATCCCGTTAGTCGCCTTTTACGACAAGCATAGTCGCCTTTTACGGCAAGCATGGGTTGCTGAAGACCTATTCTACCCCGGATCTTCACGGGTCAGTTAAGTTAAGGCCTGCGCCTCGTAAGTCTGTGGGTCCTGATGGCAGCCTGCTATTCTTTTGTATTTCAAACACTGCCAGTATCTTTGTCAAACAAGCGTAAATAGTCATATATCTTGTTGTTCATCATCAACACTTTAGTGGTGCATATACACAATTAGGGCTGGTACTCGGGTACTCGGGTCGGGTGGGTACTGAATAGGACCCGGGTACCCACAGGACTACCCAGACCCGTGGTTAGTCACGTGATATTTTGTTTAATGACAAAAATTATCTAGAACTCTATGGTTACATTACAAGTCACTAATGTCTGCATTGCTTCCTAACTATGCACCCATTCCTTCTGACATGTATAGGTTTGAATAAAGATAAAACTTCAGTCAATTTCAGTGTTTGCATGACCAGATTGTATTATATGTGTATGTAAATACATTTTGCCAGGGCTACTGTCAAACTATTCCCAATCTGATATTTTGTTCCAAACTCTTGAGACCTGTAGCGGATACCTAGGTAGGGTCAGGTGATAGTGGGGTTGGTACCTGGGTAGTAAATTTGGACTCGTCCCAGCCCCATACACTATGTTCTTCCAGTGTAGGTGCTATTTGTAACCAAGGAACTGGTGACCGCCTGGTTCAGCAAAAAAGAAAACCAGCGAGTGTTTCGACCAAGGAACCCTCAGATGACATTAACAACACTTCTCATGCAGCATGTGCCACAGTGTTGCAGACAGCTTCTAGGTTCTACACATAACATCCACCAATGGTAAATAGGGTTCACAACAACAAGGTGTACAACTCATTTGGAAGTTTTGAAGCCAGTGAGTACTCTGTAGGGCTGGGACAAGTCCAAATTTACTACCCAGGTACCCATCCCCCTATTACCCGACCCTACCCGGGTACCTGCTGTAGGTCTCAAGAGTTGAGTACAAAATGTCCGATTGGGAATAGTTTGGCCATAGTCCTGGCATAATGTATACAGATACACATATAAAACGATCTGGTCATGCAAACACTGAAGTTGACTGAAGTTTTATCTTTATTCAAACCAATAAAGGTCAGAAGATTTGGTCCATCCTTGGTCCATCAGCTCCTTTCCATGGCTTGTGATCTCAGACTGCCCTGGACCATCAACAACAAAGCCATTAGACGTGTTAGTTGAGTTATCATGAGTTGACTGAACTTGAGATGTGTCTACATTTACTGGTGGTCAGCTTGGTCAGTTGAGTATTTTGTATTCCACAGCTGAAGAAACTTTCAATAATAAAATCTAACAATTTTACTTTTTGTCACTTGTTTAACACCACACTCAGCAATATTACAGCTATATAATGGTGGTCTGTAAATAATCAAGTCTGGACCAGGCAATTCAGTGAATGACATCATCATCATCGATCTATGCTATTGGGATACGATAACATGCATCAACAGTCACCGAGCCTGACCACCAGATCTCTTAAATCACCTCATGAATGGCATAGGGACTTATTCTAACCCAGGGTCCCCCCGGGGATAAGCAGGTCATAGATTTGTATCACTTTTGTGAAACCCAAAACAATATAGGTGTTAGCAAACAAGGATTATTATCATACCTCCATGTCAGAATGATGAAATCTGATTGATTCATGTGATTTTGACAAAATACTATATACCACGGCTAGGAATGAAAAGAAATTCTCAGCAGGAGAATAAATCCCTTATACCCCGCCACGAATAAAACAGGCTGCATGTGGATTTCTGACGGGATAATAAATCCCTTATACCCCACTTCGAAGCCAAATGCTGTACACTTTTCCATGTCAATGAAAGTCCATGACACAGCACAGGTTAACCTCAGCTCAACTGAACAGCTGTTTTCTATCAAATTTGAATTTGTTTTAATTCTTTTACAATGTAAGATCAAAACATGTCGGTAAGATAAATTTGTTGTAGTAGTATCACTCGGGGTTTATGTGGTTTTATGCGTCCCTCGTTAGATTTTAAATCTAATGTAGGTTGCATAAAATCAACATGTACTCCTCGTGATACTACTACAACTTATAACATTGTTGTAAATAACTGCTTTGAAAGCACAATCAAAGGAACATGGAATGGCTAGTGGACAATTCTGCACTGTGAAATACAGTCCCTCAGACCTCTGAATGACCATGCTCGTTTTGCAATAACAGATGCACATTTCAAATAAACATATCTGGTATGTATGTTCACTTGTTATTTTCAAATGTGTGTAAATGGTTGAGAGTGAGTTCGGTTAACGCCGATTTGATCCTGTTTTATCACAGAGTGTCAGCTTCATGTATGAGGAAAGCCAGAGTTAGTGAGTTTGGTTTAACACCACTTTTAACAGTTTTCCAGTTATATCGCGGCGTGCCAGCTTAATGTGGGAGGAAAGCCCAAAGTAATGCAGGTCTCAGACGTTTACCCCTTCGGTGAAACCCACGAGCATGGGTATGGTGCTGACAAACCTGGAAACATAACCGGGGGCGAACCGGGATTCGAACCCACAATCATAGGTTTCTGGCGTGCCCAAGGGACGCAACTCTGCACAGCGAATCAAGGCGCCTTAGACGACTGGGCCACCCGAGCCCCTAGGAAAGACAGAAGTGATGCAGGTTCCAGATGTTTATCAATTTGGGTAAAACCGAAAAGGATAGGTATGGCGCTGACAAACCTAGAAACATATTCAAGGTAAACCGGGATTCAAACCCACAATCACAGATTTCTGGTGTGCCCAAAGGACATAATTTTCCACAGCAAATTGCGTCTTAGACGACTGGACCCCCCCTTCCCCGGAAATGGTTGAAAGCGTTTTGGACTTGACAAGAACACAAACATATTGATCAGTTGTTATGTTTATTAAAGTGACAAAGAGGTATCATCACCTTGCAAATAAACAATGTATAATTCACAGAAAAGTCAACTTAAAATTATCATAAAACTATTTTAAAACGTTTTTAACAGTGTAAAGGTGCTCTAAAATACATGAAAGTTAGACAATCACACACTGTATGGACACAAGGGATGGGACCAGCCATTTAATCTTCTAGCAGACCATTGTTTCAGTCCGCGCTTCAACACATACATTTTTGTCTCTGAAATGTGGAGTGACAGTAAATTACTTTTCTCAACATCAAACATGGCCAGTTAACAAATTTTTTAAATTAGAAATATCAGAGTTCATAAAAAGTTTATGTGCACTTGTACAAATATCACTTCATGCACACCCGTGTATTGTTTACATAATCCGGACGGCATTGGTGACGGCATTAGAATCATATTGTGACGTAAGGTCAGAATGACGTCGCACTGGAAACGACGTCATAGCTGAAGATTGTTGACATCTTTAGACAATTGTGGGTTCTTTTAGCAACGATGATCCTGATCAGTGCCCTTTTCTAATTACCGATTACACTCGCATGTGTGTCACGATGATTTTACAAAACTTATGTAAGAATCCATGTTTTCTCGCATAGGAAATGTATTCTGAAAGTTGAGTTTTAACGCTGCTTTGAACAGTATTCCAGTTATATCATGGCATGTCAGCTTGATGGCGGGGGAAATCCGATGTGATGCATGTCTCAGACGTTTTCTACTTTTGTGAAACCCATGAGCATAGGTATGGTGCTGACAAAACCTTGAAACAATCGGGGTGAACCTGGATTCAAACCCACAATCATAGGTTTCTGTTGGAATAAATATTTTTATATGTACTATTCACCATTTCTTACAAACATCTGTGTCAAAAAATGTTATCTGTCAGTATTGGAAACCAGCTTATACAAGCCTTTTGAAAGTGACAAGAATTTTAAGTACAAAAATCTAACAAACGCCACTAATAATTTTTTCAGTAATATTTGATTAAGTACATTTTCAATATAGTACAAGATTGTAGATCATCATGCTCTGTGGCGATCTTCTAACTGAACAGACGAAACATTATTCAAATGCTAAGTCTTACCTGGAACTACATCAAGAACCAGCAGGTCTACTGCCTATTACATCACAAGTCAGCCAAGACAATTTTGATCATATTGCGTAGGCATGTACAATTATTTGCATTTGGCACTTCACTTCTTGAATATAGGGGGGGCACCGGTGGCCCAGTCGTCTAAGGCGCCGCGATTAGCTGTGCAGAGTTGCGTCCCTTGGTCACGCCAGAAACCTATGATTGTGGGTTCGAATCCCGGTTCGCCCCAATTATGTTTCTAGGTTTGTCAGCACCATACCCGTGCTCGTGGGTTTCACCGAAGTGGTAAACCTCTGAGACCTGCATCACTTCGGGCTTTCCTCCCACATTAAGCTGACACGCCGTGATATAACTGGAATACTGTTAAAAGCGGCGTTAAAACCAACTCACTCACTCACTCTTGAATATAGGGTGAATAAAATGCATACAGTTTCTGATAGGGCTATTAACTCATTTCATATTGTTTACATATTATAAGTGACCTGTTTCATTCAGAAACATATACCATATTCGACGTAATAAGTGCCTAGGGCGCTCTCAAAATTAGAAATAGGGGGATCTTATATTAGAGTTGAAAGATCTAAATTTTGTGGTTTATGCTGACAGCCTGAAATGTTTATATACGACAGATATATTTTTCCAGGATTTAATTGCCTATAATTAAGGGTGCATATAACACACGAGTGCGTATTATACACGAATAAATAAGTCTTGTGTACATTGATCAATCGGAAGGGGTGCTACCGGTAATTAAGATTGTTCACAAGCCAATACATTAGCAAATATTGCCATGGGCGCTTATTAGAGCGGGGTGCTTATTACATCGAAAATGGTACTATTAATATTTATAGTATACATATACATGTATATGGTATATAATCTTAACAAATGTAAATGTTTCTGTGGCTGTGCGTAACTTAGTATCAACATTAATAAATGATTGCTACAATGAAATCGTGATATACAATGAGATAGATCCCTATACATGTATTGACTAGAACACTGCACATACGTCGTGACAGCAATATCACATTCAGACACACAATACAAGCAGCTACAGTAAGTGCTTCCAAGTGTACTGGCCTGCTACTACTCTAGATGCATCTTCCCAACAATAGTTTGTCTTGTCCTTTCTAAGCCTGAATTGTTTGATAAGCATTTCTTAGAGGTGAGGTGAGGTGAAATGGGGTTTAACGTCGCGTCCAAGATTATTGCACTTATATAGCGACATGCATGTACGTGTGTGTGTTTGTTTGGCTGCTTGTACTAGTCCGGACTGATGCCGATTTATAGTGCTAGCTCACTGAGATACCATGCCGCAGTTTAACACGAATATCCCACTCAGACACAGTATACTGACTCCGAGCCGACCAGTCCTTGTTTTAGCCCCTTAATGCCGAGCGCCAGACAGGGTAACAACAAGTACCATCTTTTAACGTCTTTTGGTATGACGCGGCCGGGAATCGAACCCCGGACCTTCCGCTCTCCGGGCGGACGCTCTACCACTAGACCACGGAGGTGGTCCATTTCTTAGAAGTTGTAGGATACCTACCTCTGCATCAAGTCAGTTGGCACACAAAGCTCTCTGTGGATGGAGCCCTGGTGGGTTGGGGTTGGGTTTTTTTGGATGGAGGAAACCTTTTGAGTTGAATAGGGTCCTGTTTAGGATGCAGTGGGGCCCTGTCTGGGATGCAGTGGGGCCCTGTCTAGGATGCAGTGGGACCCTGTTTAGAATGCATTGGGGCCCTGTTTAGAATTGCAGTGGGGCCCTGTCCAGGATGCAGTGGGGCCCTGTCTAGGATGCAGTGGGACCCTGTCTAGAATGCAGTGGGGCCCTGTTTAGAATTGCAGTGGGGCCCTGTCCAGGATGCAGTGGGGCCCTGTCTAGGATGCAGTGGGGTCCTGTTTAGGATGCCTAGGGGCCCTGTCTAGGATGCAGTGGGCCCTGTCTAGGATGCAGTGGGGCCCTGTTTAGAATGCAGTGGGGCCCTGTTTGCGCTGACAGGGGCCCTGTCTACAATGCAGTGGGGCCCTGTTTGGGTTGACAGGGGCCCTGTCTACGATGCAGTGGGGCCCTGTTTGGGTTGAATGGGGCCCCATCTAGGATGCAGTGAGGCCTTATTTGGGTGTAGTAGGGCCCAGTTTGGGATGAAGTGAGGCGCTGATTGGATAAAAATGTGGCCCAGGTTATTAGGAAAGTGCACCTATTTGGTAGGAAGACATCCTGCTTAGGCCAAACAAGGAGCATAATACCCTCATAAGCTACTCAGAGTGCATAATATGTGGTGATATATTTGTTCATACTACACAAGGTATCATGGCTTGTCAATGAGATCAAAGATCATTGAACAGTGTAGGTAATACAACAAGCTGACATCTTTACCATCATACATACAGCATGTAAACAGTATATTGTAGAGTATGACATTCAAATACTGGACTGCCATTGGTAGGGACATATTGCGAAAAACAAAGCTGTTTTCATTTGATATTTACACAACTCTCATATTATACGGGAAAGTGTGAAATGTACATAAACTGTACTATAATGGCATAAAAGTGTACTGAAGTACAAAAATGTTATTGGTTATGACATTTGCAGTCTGATAAATGTTACATATAAAAAAACATTCACATAACAACACTTCTCAAGTACAATTATTATACTCCTGATCATATTAATGCATGTAAAGATGTACTAATACATACTTCCTATGGGTATAATGCCCGTTCTAAGATAACAAACAATTGTAGAAGACTTCCTTCCACACTACAACAGATCTTTAGCTAGCTACACAGAAAGTCCATACAACCAGACGTCAAGTGTTTGTGTGTACAACAGTCGATACAACAAGACGTCAAGTGTTTGTGTGTACAATAGTCAATACAACAAGGTGACAAGTTTTTGTGTGTACAACAGTCCATACAAGTGTTTGTGTGTACAATAGTCGATACAACCAGACATCAAGTGTTTGTGTGTACAACAGTCGATACAACCAGACGTCAAGTGTTTGTGTGTACAATAAACGACAACCAAACGTCAAGTGTTTGTGTGTACAATAGTCCATACAACCAGACGTTTAGTGTTTGTGTGTACAACAGTCCATACAAGTGTTTGTGTGTACAATAGTCGATACAACCAGGTGTCAAGTGTTTGTGTGTACAACAGTCGATACAACCAGACGTCAAGTGTTTGTGTGTACAATAAACGACAACCAAACGTCAAGTGTTTGTGTGTACAATAGTCCATACAACCAGACGTCAAGTGTTTGTGTGTACAACAGTCCATACAAGTGTTTGTGTGTACAATAGTCGATACAACCAGGTGTCAAGTGTTTGTGTGTACAACAGTCGATACAACCAGACGTCAAGTGTTTGTGAGTACAATAGTAGATACAACCAGACATCAAGTGTTTGTGTGTACAATAGTCGATACAACCAGACGTCAAGTGTTTGTGTGTACAACAGTCGATACAACCAAATGTCAAGTGTTTGTGTGTTCAACAGTCGATACAACCAGACGTCAAGTGTTTGTGTGTACAATAGTCCATACAACCAAACGTCAAGTGTTTGTGTGTACAACAGTCCATACAAGTGTTTGTGTGTACAATAAACGATACAACCAGGTGTCAAGTGTTTGTGTGTACAATAGTCGATACAACCAGACGTCAAGTGTTTGTGTGTACAACAGTCCATACAACCAGACGTCAAGTGTTTGTGAGTACAATAGTAGATACAACCAGACATCAAGTGTTTGTGTGTACAATAGTCGATACAACCAGACGTCAAGTGTTTGTGTGTACAACAGTCTATACAACCAAATGTCAAGTGTTTGTGTGTACAATAGTCAATACAACCAGACGTCAAGTGTTTGTGTGTACAACAGTCTATACAACCAGATGTCAAGTGTTTGTGTGTACAACAGTCGATACAACCAGACGTCAAGTGTTTGTGTGTACAATAGTCGATACAACCAAATGTCAAGTGTTTGTGTGTACAATAGTCGATACAACCAGACATCAAGTGTTTATATGTACAACAGTCGATACAACCAGACGTCAAGTGTCTGTGTGTACAATAAACGACAACCAAACGTCAAGTGTTTGTGTGTACAATAGTCCATACAACCAAACGTCAAGTGTTTGTGTGTACAACAGTCCATACAAGTGTTTGTGTGTACAATAAACGATACAACCAGGTGTCAAGTGTTTGTGTGTACAATAGTCGATACAACCAGACGTCAAGTGTTTGTGTGTACAACAGTCCATACAAGTGTTTGTGTGTACAATAAACGATACAACCAGGTGTCAAGTGTTTGTGTGTACAATAGTCCATACAACCAAACGTCAAGTGTTTGTGTGTACAACAGTCCATACAAGTGTTTGTGTGTACAATAAACGATACAACCAGGTGTCAAGTGTTTGTGTGTACAATAGTCGATACAACCAGACGTCAAGTGTTTGTGTGTACAACAGTCGTTACAACCAGACGTCAAGTGTTTGTGTGTACAACAGTCGATACAACCAGACGTCAAGTGTTTGTGTGTACAACAGTCGATACAACCAGACGTCAAGTGTTTGTGTGTACAATAGTCGATACAACCAGACGTCAAGTGTTTGTGTGTACAATAGTCGATACAACCAGACGTCAAGTGTTTGTGTGTACAATAAACGACAACCAAACGTTAAGTGTTTGTGTGTACAATAGTCCATACAACCAGACGTCAAGTGTTTGTGTGTACAACAGTCGATACAACCAGACGTCAAGTGTTTGTGTGTACAATAAACGACAACCAAACGTTAAGTGTTTGTGTGTACAATAGTCCATACAACCAGACGTCAAGTGTTTGTGTGTTCAACAGTCCATACAACCAGATGTCAAGTGTTTGTGTGTACAACAGTCCATACAACCAGAGTCAATACAACCAGGTGTCAAGTGTTTGTGTGTACAACAGTCGATACAACCAGACGTCAAGTGTTTGTGTGTACAATAAACGACAACCAAACGTTAAGTGTTTGTGTGTACAATAGTCCATACAACCAGACGTCAAGTGTTTGTGTGTTCAACAGTCCATACAACCAGATGTCAAGTGTTTGTGTGTACAACAGTCCATACAACCAGATGTCAAGTGTTTATGTGTAATCTATACAATCTTCATCAAACAGAACATTCTCCTAATAAAATGAAACCTACTGAATTGACATGAGGATGTGAGAGAGTTTTACTCCACTTTAAGCAAAAAGACAACACTATGAAAGCGCTGTATCACAGATACTACACAAAAGTACTCCAGGTACCTCTCTGTATAGGGAAATCAGAGTACTCAAGTGTACCCTAACAGTGCCGAACTCAGAGGATTATTAAAGAGTAATACTTAATCTGGAAAACCATGGCAATGTTTATGTTAAGGAAATGGGCACACTCAGGCGCAGTGGTGACTTAGCATTACACCACTGCCACAAGCTAATTTGCATATCACGTCACCAGTCTTTCTCTTGTTAGGAAACAAACATGCTTTTTCTGTAATGAGAGCAGACTGGCCTGATGCAAGTCTTTGTGTTTGCTTTACATACTGTTTTGCATAATTATAAACATGCTACAACAACTGCATCAGTGAGGAGTACGACAATACATCTTTACACATAAAGTGACGGTACCACTTGCTCTCTATAGGACTTCGAAGACAGCATGTGGAAGCCGTGCAACAAATAATAGTTTTTCACATTTTAGGTTATTATCTCAATGAAAGTTAAACATATATGAATGATAAACAAATATGTTTATCTAAATGTGCAGACTGGCCAAAATTAAAACAAATGAACAACATGTGCATAAATGGACTGTGTAAGATGTGACAAATCATAACATCTTGCTGGCCTGTGGGAGAGGTACTAGGCTGACTGCAAGGAACTCTGGGTAGGAGAGTGCATTATGGGTCATTCATACGTATTTGTAACAGCAATCTGTTACAAACAATTTACAAACACGTTGTGACACTTCAAAAAGACCAGCATATCTTCCCAGCCCAGTGTACAGCTGGAGGTTCTGGTTGGATGGACGTACGGGAGGGACGCAAAACACTGGCTGTGATGCTACCTGGGGTAGCGTGGCTGTTGTTGTTGCCGTAGCAACTGCATGATGGAACAGGAGATGAAGAGAATGGCGACCAGCACCAAGACAACCAGGTAAGCATAGAGCTGGTGGTATCGGTTGGGAAGCCATAACACTGTGTACTGCATATGGCCCTCTGGATCTGAAAACAGATACATTTTGCAATTCAATAAAATACAATATGATATACAAATAAGTACTCTTGACAAGGTCAATATGCGAAAACAAGTACCGGTACCTGAGTACCGGACCCTGAAGTGGTCTGACCAGACCCAGTCTGCATATTGACCTCATCAAGAGTATGTAGTCATTTGATTTGTTGTACCAAAATTCACTTTAAAGTTTATGAAGCCTATCAACCTGTTACGTCCACACACCATCGTGTTTTCTAGCAGACGAGAGCCAATATTCATCATGTGACAAGTCAACATTCAAGGTCAGTGGCGGTCACATGATTTGGGGCTCTACTTCGACGTGATTTGTTTAGTAACATGGTACAAATTAACCAATGGAAATGCAAGATTCTTAATAGAGGTATAACAATGACTTCCAACTCGAATAGGCCCTCAGCAGTGCTACACATTGTTATACCTCTATGAAGAATCTTGCAATTCCATTGATTAATTCGTGACACGTGACAAAACAATACATTTAAATGGTGACCCTGAAATCATGGGGCCGACACTGACCTCAAATATTGACTCGTCACAAGATCAATATTGACGTGTCACATGATCAATATTGACTTGGAAACAAGATGGCATCTGGTATGAACATATCACGGTTCGCAGCTAAGTTACTGTAACGAAACCTAGGACCATTTAAAGACTTCATAAACTTTAAGTGTATTTCGGTGTATACCGACCCCGTACACCATGTTCTCCAACACTGAAACCACCTGCTCACACACAGCCTAGACAGCTATCAGCCACAAAGACCCTCTCACCTAGAAGACCGACCCCATGTCCTCCTACGCTGAAACCATCTGCTCACACACAGCCTAGACAACTATCAGCCACAAAGACCCACTCACCTAGAAGACCGACCCGTACCCCATGTCCTCCTACACTGAAACCACCTGCTCACACACAGCCTAGACAGCTATCAGCCACAAAGACCCTCTCACCTAGAAGACCGACCCCATGTCCTCCTACACTGAAACCATCTGCTCACACACAGCCCAGACAGCTATCAGCCACAAAGACCCACTCACCTAGAAGACCAACCCCGTACCCCATGTCCTTCTCCCCCATCCTGTAGCTGCACGTAGGGACCATGATTTCATTGACCGCCAGCGGCTTGTTGAGATCGATGTCCTGGTAGGAGTCGATGTCAGTTAGGTCTCGCTGGTGCACTGGCCAGTGTCCCATGTCACCATTGTTGGACAAACAGTCTTCACACACAAAGTGACGAGCCTGGTAAAACACACATACAAATCAGAAGTTATTTTCAGACACACTGAGTTCAAAAGATTTGACAAGAATCATCAATGATCAGATATGTGTTATTTATAAATGAAAGATAAATAAGAGTGAATAAGATAAGAGTGAAAACCTTTCTACCCAGGGGGGCAGATATATTTTGGGCCCAAAGCAGAAACAGGTGGTCTTTATATTAGGTGTTTTACTGTGGACTTATAGGACCAAGTGTTTATGATTTTAGCTGATATAGAAGATCGGAAAGCTCCTGTTCCCAAGAACCAATGGGTATTCTGGGTTAGCACAGGTGCCCAGCAATCTATGCTGGTCGTAAGGAACGACTTAAGGAACGACTTAAGGAATTGAGTGGTCAGACTGGATTTGGTTGTCAGCATGTCATCATAGCCAGACGGCGTGAATCATATCTCATAATGTCAATCACTGGTCTGTCTGGTTCAGATTCGATAATTTTGAGGTTGCTATCATATAGCTGGAATATTGATGAGTGTGGCATGACGTAACAAACAAGCAAACAAACAACAAAATCAATAATGGATCAAGACTGACCTCATGCCAGTGTCCGGACATCAGGAGATGAGGCTGCACTTCCATTAGTATCTGAAGCACAATGACAGGGTAAAACAGGCAAGCACTCACAACATCTTTATAATTAAGATGGAATCACACTGAGACATTGTCACATGAAGTCCTCACAACCATAGGCAATATATAAAGTTACCGTTGTTAGATACAGATCGGGGGTAGCCTAAAGCGTTCGGTGGAGACCAGGGTTCAGTTCTCCACATGGGCACAATGTGTGAATCCCATTTATGGCATCCCCCGCCACGATTTTCCTTGAATATTGCTACAAGCAGCATAAAACAATACTCACTCACTCACTCACTCACTCACTCACTCACTCACTAGAAAGAGATGGTGTGCCGACATGAGTCAGTAGTATCTGCTGAGGCCATGTTACATTATCTAACAATCAAGTTAACAATGTTTTACTATGGCACCAGGTCAACGTCAAAACAGAACATAGGATCTCTTAAAAAGTACATGTATATCACGTGATATGTCTTTTGAAACTGATGAGAGCACAGACACCCAGTCATCTTAGGGGACACAGAGTGCAGAGTTGTATCCCTTAGGAGTGCCAGGAAAGGTTGATCATAGGTTCGAATCGCCCTGATCATGTCTCTAGGTTTGTCAGCACCATACCTGTGATTGCTGGTTCCACCAAAGTGGTAAATATCTGATACCTGCATCACTTCAGGAATTTCTCCAACATAAACCTGACACGCCATAATATGACTGGAATGTAGGGCTGGGACGAGTCCAAATTTACTACCAGGCCCCCTATCACCTGACCCTACCCAGGGACCCGCTGTAGGTCTCAAGAGATAGGTACAAAATGTCCGATCGGGAATAGTTTGACCATATCCCTTTCAAAATGTATTTAGATACACATATAAAATCTTCTGGTCATACATACACGGAAGTTGACTGAAGTTTTATCTTTATTCAAACCTATAGAGGTCAGAAGGAATGGGGGCATAGTCAGAAAGAAATCTGAACATTAGTGACTTGTAGTGTAACCATAGAGTTCTAGATAATTTTTGTCATTAAACAATATATCACGTGACTAACCAAGGGACCGCGCAGTCCTGTGGGTACCCGGGTCCTTCTCAGTACCCACCCAACCCGAGTACCCGTGTTACTCATCCAAGCCCTACTGTAATGCTGTTCAAAACTTACTCTCTCACTCTGAAACTCATATTTATTGATAAAGCACATAAATTACTCACCATTGTGTATTCTCATTATCATGATGATACACTGAACTGCTTGCATCGGAGTAAACAATACATACACAGAAAGTCGCTTCTCAGGAATACGCAGCAAATGGTGCCAAAAATTCACATTAAATAATCTTGTTCATGTATAGTGAAATCTGTCATGGTTTCTTAGACAATTACATTTTATTTATTTAAATCTAAAAAAAAATAAAATTATAAAAACGTGAATCTGGGTTTTAACTCCATGAACCCGAGTCAAAAATTATGCCAGACATCCACCAGAAGTTTCATCCTTTCCACCGGTTCAGAGAAGAAGACCAACCAGACAACAGACAGACAGAAAGACAACAGACAGACAGAAAGACAACAGACAGACAGACAGAAAGACAACAAACAGATGCATCATACCATCAGCTCACTTGGGATGCATTTCAGCTTAACTAAATCTAATCTTGATTTGTAAATCTGGATGTTTCCTTCCAACTCACTGGATAGATGAATGACTTCAGTTTGGGCAGCATCGTCTCATGGTTGATGATGATGCGCAGCGGAGCTGTGAAGTGTTTCTTTAGCCTCTCCAAAAGCTTGTGTTGTTCGGATGGCATGTCACGGTTGAATCGCAAGTCCAACTGGACAGAGCAGTGACAGGTTCATTCAACAAAATTTCTTTCATAACAACAAGAGCAAACTAGATTTAACATATTTCATTTCCAAATAACTCTCATCCTCAACACTTCGCCAGTTTCTTTACACTAAGTTCCTCAATCACCTATGAATACACATAACCAATTTGTATTGTTAGCAAGCCCGTGTTGTACTGACAATGAATAATTCCATAATTAGGGTATAAACATAGACTTTCACACTTGAGTACATAACTGAGGAGTTGCCCTGTGATGATCCAGGTTAGAATTGGTCTTCAGCAACCAATGCCTGTCCTAAGAGGCCACTAACGGGATCGGTGACGCAGCTGAAGCATGTAATTGTATTCCAATTGCATAGATCGACACTCAATGTCGCTCACTGGATTATTATCTGGTCCACACTCGATTTTTTACAGCCTGCCATATATAGCTGTAACTTTGATTAGCGCAGCCTGTTTTATTATTTTTATATTAAAATTTATCTAAACCAACAACATCAGGTTTGAAATGTTAGACATGAATCTAGTTGAACATATGATGCTGATGACGTTCACTTGTCAGACATTCCAGAAGTTGACAAACATCAGGAACATGTGTGGTAATCTGCATTATTTGTTTGTTTGTTTGTTTGTTTGTTTGTTTGTTTAACACCGCACTCAGCATTATTCCACACAATTGTAATACGATGACATGCATCAGCCAAGTCAGGAAGCCTGACCACCTGACCCCATTAGTCGCCTCTTACGACAAGCATAGTCGCCTATTACGGCAAGCATGGGTTGCTGAAGACCTGTTCTACCCTGGATCTTCATGGGTCGTAATCTCTATCAAGCTGGCGTACCTTGATAAAGTCTATGAATCCCACTCGCTCTATCCCAGTAATGTTTTCAAAATGGTGTTCAAATCGGGCTATCTTGAACAGACTTCTGAAGTCCCTGCCTTCTCCTCCAATGTCATTGTCTCCAGGAACAAACATCTTCTGTAAACATGAAATATGAATCAATAAACTTCAGTTTGCAACATTATATACACAAAACTAAAACATATTAAATATGCATTCTACTTCCAGCTGAACATCAAGCTATGGCCACACAGTATATGGTTTTCTTAATTTGAACTATCTCCCTTTGAATGATAACCATAAAAGGGTAAAATGAATTTTGAATTAAGATTGTCTCTGAGAAGCTGATACTGATAATATCGAGGTTCTAATTATGTTTCATCTTTTAAAATATAGGTAGCTTAATGTTTCGTTTGGCAAATATTTTTATGTGTGCACTTTGTTTTGTCATGAACAGTACCAATGAAAACAACATAGGGTCGGGACATTAAATTAAATCATCTAATCAGAAGAAACATCACTTTTTTCTGAAGAACTAACTCGTAAAGAGGTAAACAAATCGGAAATCATATTTTTCCAGTTCTCTGTGTATGTAGAGGACTCACCTTGGCATATCGGACTGGGTAGAAGATACTCTCAAGTCTGTCCATGTACATCTCGTACTCCGTGGGTGTTGCCCGACTACCCTCATCCATGAGGTCCCCGAGGAACACCACGACGTCCGGCTGGGTGTAGCTGAACGCCAGGGAGAACGTCCGACTGAGGTAGCTGCAGGTACATCCCAGTACAACATCAGCAGCAGTACATTACAACATCTCAATGAGGGGCTGCACTGGCAGCATTTCCCTTACCCTGTAAACCTGGACCTTCCACAAAACAAATTCCCAGATGAACAAGAGTCATCAGATGCTGACAAGTCCCCCCCGGCCCCCACAAACCCTGTAAATCTGGACCTTCTACAAAACAAATTCCCAGATCAACAAGAGGCATCAGATGATGACAAGTCCACCCGGACCCCACAAACCCGAAAGAACAAACCCCCTGACTATTAAGTCCAGCTTGATGAGAGAATTTCTATCTAATCTGTCTGTCCGTATACAACAGTAGTTTTTGAGCTATCAAAACAATACTATGGAATTGGGATTTGGAACTTTATATATTTATGTCAGGTACACACCGCTATGAACAGTCAAAATCAAACTTGTTGCCATGAAAACAAAAAAAATATAAATTCTGAAAGTCCCTCAATAGCAACAGGCACCAGTTGACAACCTGGTATTTGTGTGTGCACAGTTTCAAGAATGAGGACCTATCAGTTTTGAGATATGGTCCGGACAAACACACCACTATAAACAGAGTCAAAGTCGAGCTTGTTGCCATGGAAACATGAATTTTTTTATATATTTTTTAATTTCTTAATAGCAAAAGGCACCACTTCAGCCCTTGGTTAATAAATGTACCAGGTTTGGATGAAAAGTCCTTCACAGTTTTCAAGTTTTACTACGGAAACAACACCTACCCCCAATCTTTTGAGTCTGAATTGTTTCCATGGAAATCAAGAAGAATTAAAATATCAAAAATACCCAAATAGCAAAAGGCACCACTTCAGGATCTGTTTGATATGTCTGCCAAGATTTGTTGAAAGATACTAAACGGTTTTTAGTTGTGCTCCGGAAACGAAATTCATGCTACCTTTAATGACCAAGAATGAATTGTTTCCATTAAAATCGAGAAAAAGAAAAATTTCCCAAATAGCAACAGGCACCACTTCAGGATCTGTTTGATATATCAGCCAAGTTTTGATGAAAGATATTGAACAGTTTTCAAGTTACGCTCCGGAAACGAAATGATTATGGACGGACAGATGAGGAATCGACTATATCCTCCCACATTATATGCTGGGGGTATCTCCCTTTATATTAGGGTTGGCATGTAGCAATACGGAGAGCTGTATTGTGATACATATTGCAATAAGCATTAGGGCCCAAATTATATATACTTGTACTGTTCAAATGGTACTTCTTAATTCAATAATCCAGACTTCATATTGCAAAATGTGTAGTCTGGATAAACAAGACTACGTATTATGTCATCAATTTGGAATGTTAATGTAAACAGCGTGAAGCGTGTGCTGTTTACATTGTTTAGATAGGAACACAGTCCATCCAAATGCCTCAAGATTGTAGATATAATTTATATAATCATATCTTAATTCTTCTGTGACTGTATTGGAAAATATCAATACACAAGGCTGTTTTGCGATATGTGTATTGCCAACAGACGTACTACAATATATTGGTATACCAGTTATATTGCACTCCCCAACTTTATACAAATTATATAAATACATTCCTCACATTATACATCCAGGAGTCAGAGATTAAAGACTAACAAGGTCTGGACCATGTGGACGACCAATGTTACACTTTGTATCGCATGTTAGTTTGATGTTGGATGAATGTCCAAAGTAACATTCCGGGTAGACAGGGATAGATTTAGCAGTGATAGAAACTAACATTTTAGTCCACTAGTCCTTATTTTGATAATATATTGCAAACCCATGGCAAATTTCTACTAGTCCTTATGATACCTTAACTACTGGGCAGTTTGGCAAGGACTGCAGGACGAGTGCCAATTTCTGAAACTGTTTAGGTCTTATTGTTTACACAATACATTGTATTTTCATAATTGATGCATCATAAGTCACACTCTGCATGTTGATGTCGCATTTTGTGCTAAAAATATATAAAAATGTGACAAATATGGACACCTCAGAAATGAGGGCTTTTAAAGATATAATTCTACCTAAGTTGTCACATGGTTTGACTTATGTCTATCTGAGAAAAGTCCGTTTGAAAATTTTTTTTTTTTAATTTTATGACACTGACAATGTCTGGCACTTAGACAAAGAATATTCAAGGAAAGACAGACATGACTTTCATGGAAGACTGTAAATAATTGAATTTGAGTCTTATTATTTTAGTTTAATGCCGTTGTTGATATATGAAAATGAAATGTATTTTTGGTCGAACAAAAAATGGCCAAAAAACAGGATCAAGAAGCCAATTTTTACTCTTTTACAATCACGGACAGATACGAGGTAAACTCTGTTGGAACGGTGAACTTCTGTTGACCACTGTGGGAGCTTACTGTGTAATACAATACAGGTTACCACTGACACTATACATCATCATCATCTGCTGCACCTCACCTGTCCGAGTCCCATCTTGTGATGGACCCTATGGGAAACCGAGCCTCATCCTGGTACCCTACAATCTGAGGGTCTGACACAAACAAGATCCTCATCTCTTCCTCAGAGTCCCTGAAAAACAAATCTAGATTAAATCTCATCGGCCACTTCACAAATTGACATAAACATACAGCAATTATGGTTTAACTGTATCTGCAAAAGCAACTAAATCAAATTTCATGAAGTACCAATCTCATTCAAATCAGATCTTAGTTCTCACTACACAATGCTTTTGTTAAGCGGTAGCGAGAACTAAGATCTGATTTTAATGAGATTGATGAAGTATGGTATTAAACTGAGACAAAAATGATGATGAAGAAAGTGCAAAACAAGATAAAGGAATATCCTTGACACATCAAGTGACAGAGGGGTTACCATGAACCTGCAAGTTTGCTGGTATCGGTTGCTTACACAATAGGATTTGAATATCTAAACCATACATAAACAGGATACATTTAACGTACATGTACTACTCAACTTTTTTATTGGGATAGTTTTATTTCCCATGACATACAAAACTCAATTTCATTACAATCAGATCTTAGTTATCGCTACTGCCAAACAAAGATTTGTCTAGCGAGAACTATGTTTGTTTGTTGTTGTTTTGTTTTTTTGTTGTTTAACGCTCTCAGCAATATTCCAGCTATATGACGGCAGTCTATAAATAATCGAGTCTGGACCAGACAATCCAGTGATTGACATCATGAGCATCGATCCACGCAATTGGGATACAATGACATGCATCAATAAGTCAGCAAGCCTGAGCACCTGATCGCATCTTACGACAAGCATAATCGCCTTTTACGGCAGGCATTGGTTGCTGAAGAACCATTCTACCCCGGATCTTCAGGGGTCGCGAGAACTAAGATCTGTCCAGTGTATATTTAAATAGAATGACATTATCTGATTATCCCTATGAAAGTGGAGTAGTTTAGTTCAATACACCCGCAGCCCTCGTCTAGCCGAGTGGTAAGATTGTATACTTGTATGGGTGCGGCATAGCAGGCCATCTCCAGCTCTGTATCCTGTGCACGAGGAACTCGTTGATGATGACTGTCGTGAGGAGGATGAGGAGGAGGAAGGATCGGAAGGTCAATTTCTTTAGCCGCGAACACAAGGACCGACGCATGGTGATCATGACATCGGTCTTTCTGAAAGACATTCCCCATATGAGCTCAACATTACAAAGTGAAAAGCCAGAGTTGGGCTTTAGGGTTGATGTGTTTGTGGACAATGATTGAAGACAACGATTTACCGATTCCTCAATATCAGGGATGTAGCTAGGCATTCACATTTTAAAGCATTATGGTGACCTCATGTTAGTGTTGTTGCATTTGATTCTGAGTCAGAAATTCACTGGCCATTCTGAACATGCATTTTAACAAGTAAAATTTGATGCAACTAAAGCTCATTACGAAAAATTATAGAGAAGTTACACATCAACCATAAATATAGAATACTAAACGAGCTCCCGTGTAATACTAATTTTATGAAACGCGTGAATAGTTCTGGTATCTGACAAGCGAAAGCGAGTCAGATACCACAACTATTCACGGGTTTCATAAAACTGGTTTTACACGGGAGCGAGTTTAGTATTTTATTTATTACTGGCCATTTATAACGTTTTTAGAATTATACTGTTGAGTGTGAATAGGCTGACACCTACATGATCCACGGCATAATCCAACTGAGTTTAACACAGTAATACTTCAAATACGTCAAAAGTTGAAACGTATGAATTTAATACCATCCAACGGTCCACCTTTAGAATTCAGGCGTCCGTTCCACAAAATTATCGTAGCGTTAAGGTTATCGCAACTCATATACTTTAACTTAGACCAATGACTGTCGTTGCGCTACCGTACGATTGCCTTGTGGAACGGGGCCTTACACCTCAAAGTTTACAATCACGTCACAATACCCGATGACGTAATTTGTGGAATTTTGTTGCAAGATCCTTCGGCGAAACAATGCCATGTGACGTCAACCTAGCAACAAGGCTGCTGGGGTCATCGAGTGTGCATAGGCTCCTCTCAGTGATCTATCATCTCCACACGCAATGTCGTTGAATAAGCCAAGGGATGTTGAGAGCTTTCAATATTTGTTCGTGAAACGTGTTCCGAGAGTACATAAGCACGCGTTTTGGTATTACACAATGTGTAATACAGCTGTATGTTTATTAAACGGGTGATCTCTCCACGGGCAAGAAATAACATGGTTTACGTCATGAGAAATCAGTCGAATCAGTTGATACCAGAAGTTAAATCAACAAATTCTCATGATTCCTCCATTACATAATATTTGGCTCTGGTTGACCATGTTGACAGCAACTACTGTATTTGACATAATAAGCGCCCAGGGCGATCTCGAAATTAGAAATAGGGGGCCCTTATTAGAATATAGAAGTTGAAAGATTGTAAATTTTGTGGTTTATGCTGACAGCCTGAAATGATACAAAAGAAAAGTCTGTGTGTATTATACATGGCAGATATATAGTTTCCAGAATTAAGTTGCCCATAATTAAGGGTGCATATAGCACACGAGTGCGTATTATACATGAATAAATATGTCTTGTGTACATTGATCAATCAGAAGAGCTGCTAAGTGGGATTGTTCACTAGCTATTATATTAGCAAATGTCGCCGTGGACGCTTATTAGAGCAGGGCGCTTATTACATCGAATACGGTATCTAGTATCTGTCAAGTTCCCAATTCAAAACATTATCAGCAGATTATACCTGATGTTTTATCTATGTAAAACATTATCAGCAGATCATAACTGATGTTTTATCTATGCAAAACATTATCAGCAGATTATACCTGATGTTTTATCTATGCAAAACAACTGCATGTCACTGATTACAAGATAAATAAAGAGAGAGATTTTGTTGTTGGTTACATGCTGAAAACAATGTTAAAATAACTCTGAACTAAAGAAAATAGGATCTTCAAAACAATTCTCTTTTTTTCAATTCTCTGCCTGGATCACCTCGTTAAACCCATGTTGAAAGTATCAAGATGATTCAGGTTGCACATGGATTAGCAGCCCAGGATGCTGACTTCCTACTTGCTGAGGTGTTCTAGTTCTACATGATCGCCCAGTGTGGAGGTTCATTTACAGAAAGAAATAACTTACAAATTATAGATCCTTGCCTCATTACAGTTCCCATGGGTAGCAAGAGTATGGTTCCTGAATGTCAAGGAATGAACATGCTGAAGTACTCTTATTATCTGAATAATCATACACAATATCGTTACACATGAGTAACAGCTAGCAGTAAACAATCAGTTTAATAATGTGACACTGAATTATAGGTATCTGGACACATGTCAAGCTGCGGACAATATATTGGGGATTAGTCAGTTCCTGTTTTGGAGGACGGGGGACATATCCTGGGCAAGCATAGCCTGGGGCATGTTGTAAACAATGGAGTTTGGTAACAGCACATGCCAGGTTGAACATCACTGCAGGCCCTTTGCATGTCCCAAACAGTGCACTGATCATCAGATACAAGCATACTTTTGAATGTCTTGTAGCCCAAAATTGTCTATTGGCATCATTGATTGTAGTTTTATTAACTCAGTGTGCAAGACCAAACAAAATTTCATTAGACTACAGCAATGGCCAAGTGACTGAAGTCTCAGACTGATTGCTTGCTATTTGACCTGTAAAGATCCGGGTTAGAATAGGTCTTCAGTAACCCACGCTTGACTTAAAAGGCAGCTATGTTTGTCAAAAGAGGCGACTTAACGAGATTGTGTGGTCAGGCTCGCTGACTTGGTTGATCCATGTCATCGTATCCCATTCGCGAAGATCGATGCTCATGATGTCAGTCAATAGATTGTCTGGTCCAGACTCGATTATTTACAGACCACCGTCGTACAGCTGGAATATTGCTGACTGTGGCGTCAAACAAACAAACAAACAAACAAAGCTTGCTATTTAAAGGTGGACAGTGTCAGGATCCATTTCCAGTCTGGTCTTGTCATAGTTAGTTTAAAAGTACTGTTTTGTCAGTGAACAGAGACATTGTCTCTGCATAAGTATGGTAATCATTACTTGACAGAATTATATACATAAAAAATTTGTTTTGCATATAACATGTATGAACAAGATGTGTTTGAGATGATGTAATCTTCTAGGACTGCCAGTGTTTAGTAGACAGAATAGTTATTTATGAAATCCAGGCAGTTTTTGTAAACTCATCTGGCATTTTGCTTTATAAAAGACATGCAAAATTCTGATGGGCAGTGACAGTCGCAGTGACAGAGTGGGTTCAAGTTTAACACAAGGTGATGATGAAAGGAACAGTATGTCAGCAGTTCTGTGTGTTTTTAAATATTGCATGACATAATTTCCAAGTCTGACGTCACATGCCCAATTCAATTCTGAAACGAAAACAATAGACAGCTTGATTAGATTTGAAGCCAGCGTTTATCAAAACCTACAAGTAAATTACAATATAAATGCCTCGGTCATATGAAGCCAATCACTCTCCTACCAAGAGTTCCTTGTGTCACATCGTCACATCTTACACAGTACATTCATATGTTTTCTTCTGTTTCATATTGGACAATTCTACACATTTAGATAAACCTACGGCATGAGATGTTGAACTTTCATTGAGAAAATATCCTAAAACATGATAAACTATTTTCATTTGCATATTTACCAGTTTAGTAGAAGATTAGCAGATTAGGTTGAGGCTTGAAAATAGGGAACAACTCGATAACCTAATTCCCTGTTTACTGTTTACCCTCGTTTTGTTTGGGGATCTAACTCTCATATGTAGCCCTAATTTATCATCTGGTTAAAAATATAAATAGTAAAGTAGGAGTGTAAGTAAACACATTTATATATAATTAAGTTTTAACTAAAACAAAAAGAACCGATTAATATTGCTCCATTGTCACAGGGAATGTCTAGGTCTACATATCTTGGATGTTATGGTAAAAATATATTCAAATATTACGAACTCTGCCATATTACAGACAAATGCTTCAGGGTTGTTGTGTTGGAGAGATCAAACAGGGCTGAGACCAAAATGTGTGTGCTTATGTTTACCGTTATCCAAAATGTATGTACAATGAGCCAACTGCACGTATGACACCGGGAGGGCACCGGTGTCAAACACAGCACATTCTTGAAAACATCACTGACTTTTCATCAAAGGGTGGTAACTCTTGATCGACGACCGTTTTGCATACCGCCACCAATAATTGGAAAGAGGCGCATTCTGTTTTCTGTTTGGAATAACCGTTTCGCAGCATGTTGTTTGTCTTATGAGAAAGAAAATATATAAGATGTGGAGTCGATACGTTAAAAATTGAAAATAAAAAACACTAACAAGGGCAAAAGTTCTAAGCTTCAACAAGATCATTATACTCTCGCACTAAGCCATGCCAGACATCATATGCTATGGACTTACGTGTATATGTTACAGCAGAGATTTATATGGTCTCTGGTTACAGTGAATGTGTAAAATCAGTCAATGTGTAAATTTTCACTTTGACAATTTACAAAACGCTAACATTATCTCAGTCATTATAATTTTTTTCCCAAAATTCCCGTCACACTGACTAAAAGATATTAAGGATTTCAAAAGGGCCTAAAATTATCACGATAGACTAATTATGCAACGATTAGAAACCAATTTGCTTTTATAAATTATACATAGACTTTCGTAATCTTTTAATCCTATCATTTTCAGTCACTGGTTGATGAAAAAGAGCATAAACATGAATGAATTTCGTTATCATAATAAAATAAATGGAAAAAAAATAAAATGACAGAAATATTTTTGGCGTTTTGTAAATTGCCATTTTATACATTGATTGTTACATATACATGTACCAAAATTATGCTTTGGGAGCCAAGCCACGCCAGACATAATATGCATATTCCATGACCTGGTCTCTAACTTTAAGTGTCTATGTACTAATAATTTACTTTTGGAGATGGTATCAAAACAGACAAATATTACTAGGTAAAATGGAATTGATATATCAAATACATTCTCTCAAAGGGAGACTGTAGGTTGCTTAAATTAGCCTTTACTTTGTAAGTGAGGGTGAATAAAAAGAATCCATTGTGAGAGGGAAAGTGCATCCTCGATCATACAGCGTATCATTTGATAAATGTACCCCCGTGTTATGGGTTTCCGGACGCTTAAGAAACATTCGTATTTTTCTCTCTAATCACAAGAACAACCGTAAAACATCTCACTCACTTATAAAGAACAACTTTATCTTAAAATCAAGCTACATCTGAGTTTTTACAATGTCTGTGTGACGCCACAACCCTCGTTATCAATCATCATCATTAGTAAAGTCGGCATCACTTCGGGCTTCCTCGTACAGCACAGCGATTCGCCGTGATATATTACTGGAATGCTGTTCAAAGCTGCGTTAAACTCACTTACTCACTCACTATGGTAAATGCAGGATGCAGTGCAAAAGATAGGGCAAAACTATGACCATGGTGTTTAATTGGGCTTCAGATGGGCCCCATACATGTTCTACATATCTACTTACTTCCATTTCCCACCAGGAAGGAAAGAACATTGAGATGCTACTTAATAAATACGCAAAGTAGCGTGGCATCAAATTTCCTTGATCTGGTGTACAAATGTACAGTTGTGAAGAGTGGTTAATCTGTCAAGACATGCTATAGAAACGACAGGAATTCTGCATATGGCTTTATCATAAGCACACTTTCTTATGTGCCTAGTCTGTTATATATCGTCATAATTATAATCAGTCATTATTAAAAATATATTGCATCATTTAATACTTTATCAATTGAAATTCCCAAAAGCACAAAGCTAGTGATGAAGAAGAGATTACAGAACAATCGCGTGTATTGTAAGCTGTTCGCGCATCGTTAGTACTTCACGAGTTTGTGTTACACGACGGTCACCCGTCACCCGTGAATACATACGGCCACTTTGCAGTATGGTCGCTATTTGTAATCAAGGAATCAAGCCACACATAGCCTGGTGACAGCGAGAGGGCAAACAGCGAGTGCTCAGACCAATGAGCGCTCAGATTACATCGGCGATGTTTATCATGCATCATGTTCCACAGCCTTGTAGGTAGTCTATCTCACATTCCATGAACCATAGTATTTTCCCCCGAATGAAACAAGTCTAGATTTCCCACAGTTCAGGCTGAAATTCTCTTCTCGCTGGGGCTCCTTTTCACTTTAAATGTAGGACGTTGCTTGTTTCTACTGAAATAAAATATTTTCAGAGACTAAGCGATAGTGTATCTTGCAGCCATCTACAAGGTTCTACGCACTGCTGCTACACGTTACATCAGCCATTTACGGTCGATGGAGGAATGTAGTGCATTCAAACCAAAGAAGTGTTGACGATGATTGTTCGCAAAGTAAAGATTTATTCTGAACGTAGGCAACAAACATAAGTCAAAGAAGCGGCCCATAAATCTACATTATTTTGTCACAATTATTCTCGGTTGTACCACAATCCCAGAGTTTGCTGCAAAGTTATTCATTTATCCAAAATATTACCTTTCATCGGCGTGCTGTTCAAACACTTACATCTACACAATATATGGGGGTGTTATATAATTCGTTAAAGGGGCATCTGCGGTTGTGACTACCCACTACCCACTGCGAATTCCACTTTCTTCCACTTTCTTCTACAATGTCCATCACTTCATGAATTAAGAAATAAATATCTCCCGAGTTATTATTGTAAGTATCCCACTATTGAAAAATTTAACCAGCTTATGGTTTGCTCCTACAAACCTCTTGTTATAAAGCTGGCGAAATACTTAAAGGATGGTTTACAACTTTTTAAGTAATAATTCAATTACTGTATATACTATGTTTGTAATTACTTTATGTTTATGCACACTGATACACGTCTGTAAATATAAATATGTATATTGTATGCTCTATATCACAATACGTGATTCATGAGTAATAAACTTCTGTTCTGTTCTGTTCTACTACCGCACTCAAGTGGGCGGAGCTTCTACGAGTGATCTGACTGGTGGTGCAAAGATCACATGATCAACGACTGGTAGCAAAGTCCGTGAAAACTGAGATAAACGAATAAACAATAACCACACATTGTGCTGACATTACTTTGAAAGGAATGTAGTCAACTGGGATACATGACACTCTTTAAATAGGAGTGTTTATTGGTCCTAAGAACGATTACTCAAATGAAGACTCTACTCATTGATTTGTTTGTTTTTAACGCCGCACTCAACAATATTCCAGCTGTATGACAGCGGTTTGTAAATACTCGAATCTGGTTCAAACAGTCCTGTGATTAACACCACTAGCATCGATCCACGCGATTGGGGTACGATGACATACAATCTACCAAGTCAACATGCCTGACCGGCGAACCCGCATAATTTGGTCGTCTCTTACGACAATAAAACAGAAAACTGTAATCTCTAGTTGCTGTTACACGTATCCACCACGAACACAATTCAAGTAACTATTAACAACAACAACAAATGTTAAGCTCATTAAAGATATTGCTAAAGATGTATAAAGAATGTATCTACCTGTATGGTGTAACTTGTATATTTTATTGAGAAAATATAACATTTGTCACACCTGTCCATGTGCAAACGTTTAGTCTTATGTTTTGACCTTTGATGCCGAATAAACTTCTTCTTCTCTTCTTCTTCTTCTTCTTCGGGCGGTGGGGTGTCCTAGTGGTTAAAGCGTTGGCTCGTCACACCGAAGACCAGGGTTCGATTCCCCACATGGTACAATGTGTGAAGCCCATTTTACTCACTCACTCACTCACTCACTCACACACTCACACTCAAACACTCACACAGTCACTCACTCACTCACACACTCACTCACTCACTCACTAACACACTCGCACTCAAACACTCACACACTCACTCACACTCAAACACTCACACACTCACTCACTCACACACTCACTCGCTCACACTCACTCACTCACTCACTCACCCACTCACTCACTCACTCACTCACTCACTCACTCACACTCACACTCACTCACTCACTCACTCACTCACACTCATACTCACACTCACACGCTCACACACTCACTCACTCACTCACTCTATTATAGTTGCTGGAGACCTACACACGCCTTGAACATTGTATTAGGTAAACGTCTTCATAGTTAGGTGTATATGAAGGAATGACAACTGAGACAACTGAGAATACCTATGACATACTTTACATTCCGTGGATACTCGGGACGCGTGTTCAGTGTGTATGTACACTGGGTTCGGTCAGCCAACTGAAATATACGTGTCCAATATTAATCCATCTAATATTTAGATATGAACGAGCTGGTATTGTTCAAAATATGCAAAAACAACACAGGTACCATACAGAATCATTCTGCGAAACAGTCTTTCAACTGTTTCCTTTTCTATCTATGTATTACAATAGAATCAATCTTTGTAGAATCGTTAACTTTTTGGAAAGTGCGATTTTATACTTGTGTTAATTTCTGTCGTGATTTATTGTATGATCATTAAGTTATTGCCATTAATGTTTATATTTTTATATTCACACCACTTTCCCAAAATGCTGTTCCTTGTTCGCATGATTGCATCACGAGGCAAGGGGCAGCGCTAATAGACTAGGCTCGTAGACTGGCGTTACGTAGGATGCTTCCGTGGTATGGTGTTGCTGGTGACTGACAATCCTCCTCGCTAGTTCACCACAAACGCTTATCACCTCCAACAAAGCGTCATCCTCCCCCGAGTCATAACAAAACTATGCAGTCTCTTCCGGTTGTAACCATATATCACAAGTAGACGGACGGTATTTCCCGTAATCAAAGTTTTAATTATTACGTAGAAATACGTAAGTCCAGTCACGAAACAAAGACAATTATTATTTAAACAGAGGGAGCGAGTATGTTTTTTATACGCCCCTTCAACATTTTATCAATATCACTATGGGACACTTAGAATGGGATTCAGACAATATAGTGATGCACACATATGGGAATCGAACCCGGGTTTTAGGAGTGACGAGCGGAGGTTTTAATCCCAAGGTTTTTGGTTGGCCCTGGCAGTACGTTTGTCGGTAGTCTCTGATATATTGTATTCTCTAGCCGGGTTTAGGGCCATATCGACTACTCGCATTTTTTTAAGGGAACCCACTTAGGGCTCGATTTGTTGGTATGATTCGTTTATGGCGTTCCAGATCAACGTTGGGGAAGCCTGGCGCGATGCAGGTCTTAAACGTTTACCACCCATGAAATCGACGAGCACGGGCATATAGCGGGTACAGTGTTGACAAACCAAGGAATATAATGAGGGAAGTCTGGGATTTGAACCCACGATCATAGGTTTCAGGCAGGCTTACAAGGAACATCTCTGCAATGTGAGTAGCGTTGCTTTAGACGATTGACTAGCCATCCATGCAACATGTTTATTGAATAAATATTGCCGTTTGTTAAGTGGTTATTACAATATAGGTTCATGTGTTATGACTGTGGCTATTCTGTGTGAACATCACTTGGCTCAAATCAGCAGCTTTGCAGCCATGAGAAGAGCTATTCAGGGACTGAGATGTCTGCTCCTGTCATCCTACGTAAGAGACCTTAAGTAAACATGGATTGCCTGCTTTGTAATGATCAAACAGACTTACACTGTTTAACCATCTTAAAGCAATATGACGAGGGTTCTACCGCATCTGATGACAACCAACACACACCACCCAATAGTGGTTCTAGTGCATCTGATGACCAACCAACACACACACCCCAATAGTGGTTCTAGTGCATCTGATGATCAACCTTCTGTCCATGCCACCCAACAGTGATTCTAGTGCATCTGATGAATAACCTACACACACCACCCAATAGTGATTCTAGTGCATCTGATGATCAACCTTCTGTCCATGCCACCCAATAGTGATTCTAGTGCATCTGATGATCAACCTTCTGTCCATGCCACCCAACAGTGGTTCTAGTGCATCTGGTGACCAACCTTCTGTCCATGCCACCCAATAGTGGTTCTAGTGCATCTGATGACCAACCTTCTGTCCATGCCACCCAATAGTGGTTCTAGTGCATCTGATGACCAACCTTCTGTCCATGCCACCCAATAGTGGTTCTAGTGCATCTGATGACCAACATTGCAGGTCTATGAGATGACCCTCTGTACATGTCACCCAACAGTGGTTCTAGTGCATCTGATGACCAACCTTCTGTCCATGCCACCCAACAGTGATTCTAGTGCATCTGATGAATAACCTACACACACCACCCAACAGTGGTTCTAGTGCATCTGATGATCAACTTTCTGTCCATGCCACCTAACAGTGATTCTAGTGCATCTGATGAATAACCTACACACACCACCCAACAGTGGTTCTAGTGCATCTGATGACCAACCTTCTGTCCATGTCACCCAATAGTGGTTCTAGTGCATCTGGTGACCAACCTCTCTATTTGCCTCTCAACAATGGCACCTGCTCATCCGATGCCCAACCTTGCAGGTCTATGAGATAACCCTCTGTGCATGCCACCCAATAGTGGTTCTAGTGCATCTGATGACCAATCTTCTGTCCATGCCACCCAACAGTGGTTCTAGTGCATCTGGTGACCAACCCTCTGTTCATGCCACCCAATAGTGGTTCTAGTGCATCTGATGACCAATCTTCTGTTCATGCCACCCAACAGTGATTCTAGCGCATCTGATGACAACCAACACACACCACCCAACAGTGGTTCTAGTGCATCTGATAACAACCTACACACACCATACAGTAGTGGTTCTTGTGCATCTGGTGACCAACCTCTCTATTTGCCTCTCAACAATGGCACCTGCTCATCCGATGCCCAACCTTGCAGGTCTATGAGATGACCCTCTGTCCATGTCACCCAGTAGTGGTTCTAGTGCATCTGGTGACCAACCTCTCTATCTCCCTCTCAACAATGGTACCTGTTCATCTTATGTCCAAGTAAGGGTTTAACACTGGAAATCACACCCATTTGTAAACAGTGACCAACTTGTTCAGGAAAATGAAAACAATGCATGTATTATATTTCTGTAAACTATTTTATTCATATTGTTTCATGATATAAGCCTGTGGTTGATGTCATCAATGGTCATGTACATGTTATCTGATGTTTCTGGAATGTCACCCACGAACACAATGGCCATGGAATAAAAAGTATTTTGATATGTTACTGTGTGCATTTCCATCAGAGAAATCACCAATTCCATGTTTTATATCACCATCCCCAACAAAGTGTTTATTCATTACTCTAACCACATACTATGGCAGTAAATACCAAAGAAACAGCATCTAAACACTGTGCTAGGTTTCCAGGTTAGAAATCTATTTTCCAAAGAATACAGCATTTTGTTTCATTTTACACTTAAAGCAATATCTAAGTAAAGCTCTCTGAGGACAAGCAAGCTGGATGTGATACTTTTTTGTGCAGAATTACACACATTCCTGGCAACAAACTTTGTTACAAAAATAAACATTCTAATTCAACAAACAACTTGCTGATATGATAAACATAACTTATTATAATCCCAGAAAACTTATTTGTCTTACACAAAAAATCAAATCTTTTTGTTGGTAGAAAAGATTAATTCTTTAACCATCACTATTTATGACCAGTGTCTGGGCATAGCATATTGTGTGCTCCTTTTCATCAAGTCTCGAAAGCGAAAATCAGAAAAGGATACGTAGGTGGTTAAACAATAAACCTTTCACTCCTAAAAATCAAATGTCATCTTCAATTAACTCTTACACTGACCAATGCTCACATCTACTTTAGATACTGCATAAACATGAGAATTAGCTAATGGAAGGGTTAATAAATGACAATTATATATTACTAACACAGACATAAATAGGAAGAAAGATGAAACAAAAAATATCTTTTATGAGGTTATTCAATATTTCATTAAAAAAAATAATTCAATTATAATCAATATTCTTAACACACTTTCTTAAAAATCATAAATTTATGTGCCAAAGATATAAATCCTATGATTATTTATAGGATAAATATATAACATGGTATGGAAGGGTAAAACTGACTGATATGAAATTTGGTATACATATTTCTGACAATAAATAAACAGGTCATGCATTAGCCCCAAAAGAATGCTGCCTTAGGGAACAATGATCCAATGTGTTGAGTGTCGTCTTAACAGGCTGAAAAAAGCATAAGGAAAATATGATATGAGATATTACAAAAATCTTCAACAATGTTACCAGCACTGTTGTATATTTTTCATAAAAATATAAAAAGTGATAATGAGACAGTGCTGTACACGAGGTGCTGACTAGATGTTTAAGTACATCTCGGTCTGTACATTAACATCTTGCTGTGTGGGGCGACATCACCGTATCACGCATGTATCAGATATAATACTCAATACCACATTCAGCAAAATGAGGAGAAATGGCAGTTGTCTGATGCTGATGATATGTTGGAAGATATTTGAAAGTATGCAGTCAAATGAAGCGTAATACGTGTGTTATCGCCCCATACACATATAACCCTGCTCCGTACCTCACTGATCATGTCAAGGCATCATATATTCACAACAGTCATGTATTTACATCATTGTGTTTTACACACACTAAACAATTCCACAAACATCTTTACAATTTACTTAAGCTTGGCATAAAACTGTGCCAGCAATCTATACAATTTACATGCATACTGTTCATATCTTTGGTTAAACCAAACAAAGAATTTAGACAACACTTAATAATAATATCATTTGTTCTCTTCATATCGAGTCCAAACCCCATCACATGAGTGAAAATATGCAACATATACATTTACATATCAGCAACAGAAAAAGCTGACATCAAACTCCCAAAATCCAAAAAGAATATCCCAAAGACCATTTTTACAAATATATAGGGAATTACAAAAGGCAGCTCCGGTACATCCCCTGCAACAAGGAGTGCATAGCACAGCATCAATAACAGCGTAGTAGTGCATAGTATCAATGGACAGATTGGACAAGGCATCACTTGGCATCAATGCCACTGGACGAAATAGATTCAGATTCATTAACCCTTTCTCTGTACTGTAAAAAAAATGGCAAAAGTATTCAATGATGAATGATGACATAATGCTTTTAATTCCTGAGAAATAAAATTTTGATAATATAAAGTTTTGAAAATGCTGTTTACCATGCCCTACAATGCCAAGAAACTAGCATTGATAAAAAATGTATAAAATGTATGTCTCAATGTTCTTATTCTACTAATAAACGGAAGAAAGGGTTAAAGAAATGCTCTGCCTGAGGGATACGACTGATATACAATGGACAGATTATTGACTGTTGGGCATCATACGACTCATGTAGAACTGGCAGTTAACACAGAACTGGCTGCCGACTACAACACATCTCTTGCTGCACAAATGACACAACTGGTCTCCAGGCACCCCAACCGGGGGACTCTCATCACTGTTAGAACTGTCCATGTCTTCTACCTCCGAGTCGGAGTACCCTGGTTTGTGGCTATATCTATCTTCGTCGTCACTGTAATATGCCCTATCATCAACACGTAACCTTGGCGTTGACATCTCAGTAGCAGACTCATAACCAAGGTGTGAGTTTTCAATATTTGCCACACGTGCAATGTCTTCACAAAATGTCACAGATTTTCTTGGCCAGTTGTTCTTTGCTTTCTTGTTCTTCAACACAGACTTGGGTTTTTTGACAGAGGAGTTTGACTCTGACTTGCTTCTCTGTCGCTGGCCAATGTACCCTACATCAGAGTTCTGTTTTCGGACAGGGTGTCTGCGGGTCTGGGGTTCAACATTCACAGTCTCGAAGCGGGATGCTAAAGCGCGGACACTAACGTTGGGTTTTACGTCGTCTAACTCGCTTGAGTTATCACTACCACAATAAGAAGCATCATTAATCAACAGCTGGTTACTTCGCAAGTCGGGCTGGCTCTGAAATACAATATCGGGCAATGTTAACACAAAGAAACACACATGGGTCTTTAAGATGTTTGATCATTAGTGGACCATTAATATTTTGGATTATTTTGGGAGGTTCTCACAGGAATTGCAAAGGAGGTCAAGGACAACATTTAAGCATTGCAAGCTATTAAAGCATAGGAATTATTGTCTAAAATGTTATTAGAAAGGTGGCAACATGATTCTACATGATGTATGTCATCTCAAAAGTTGCATATGATTGTGTCCCATTTTCACCAACAAAAAAGCAACCATCATGAATCACATGAAGTGATTGCTTACAAAGAGCTCTTGTTCACTTAATTTAAAATGCCTTTTATATTCAAGAAATAACTATTCACCAATAAAAGGGGTAACCATGGTAACAATCCACAACTTAAAGGGTAATAATTCACATGGACAAACAGGAACCCGGGAGCAAAAAAACAAGTTATGATTGCTTGTACACATTTGTGACAATGTGCTTGAAAGATTGTGAGTATAAGAGAGGTCCCTTCACTCACAGCTTGATGGTCAGAAACTTGTGATGAGTGTTAGTGCTTGCTACAGTGGTTAATGACTACAGCAGTTAGTTTACATACAACACATTGGTGGGGAAAATCAGGGAGAAAAGCATGATGGAGACATGCACTGAATGTTACTATCAGCATCAAAAGATATTCTGTTCTTAGTATGATGAAGGGATTACAACAGTCAAAATTGTTATCAGTGTTTTTCAAAGATATAGCAGAATAAGGTCTGCCATAGGTCACACAGATTAATGACAAGTATTAAAATGTGCATAGCTTCTAAAAGATCCAATATTTAGACAAAAAGTGGTACAAAACAATGAAATAATTTTTAAGAAGCTGATGTACTGACAAAAACATGCAACTTTTCATGCTACTCAACAGACCTTAGCAAAAACTGAAAACAGCAGATTGCAATAAAAAAAGAGAACATCAAACATGCATTTTTAGTATTTATTTCTATTCTAACATTCAACCAAACAAATTGAATGTAAAAAAATATTAATGGAATCAAATCAAGGAAGGTTGAAATACGGCCAATGAAATCCAGAATCAGACACCATGCATTACACACAAGACAACATGCAAAACCAAGGGAGGTAACCGGTGACCCATCTATCGGGACACAATACTTACAGCCGAATTTTGGCGCATAGTAGACAGTTGTCCCGACCATGAGGAGGGAGGATGGACATCCCCCCGCCCCCGGGAATTACTGGGACCACGCCCACCTGGAGAAGCAAGCACAGTAACACTTGAATACTGGGAATGACACAAGAGCGGCAGAAGATGTTCGCGGAGACAGGACTGCTGCCTCTCTATGGTGGAGAGTTAATGAACAGACAGACATTCTGCCTAAGCTTCGTCTACAGAGGTTAATGTTAAGACAAGAAAGTATTAGCTAGGAAAGCCAGTATCACCGCTTTCAGAAAGTGTTAATATGGTTAAGAGAAGTCATTAATAAACTATTGTGAAAGCATCCTCGACTTTCCAGGGAATTATACCTCCATTCTATTACAATATACACCCTGGGCCCATTGGTCTCCATAGTGATTGAAGATACAATACCCTGGATAATCGAGGATGTTGTTGGATTGGACATCACAGGACGAAACAAAGTAGGATTAATCTGAAGATGTTATCACATTCCCTATCACACAGATATTTCAAGTACTAGCAAGAACATTGTCTGAAGGCCAAATGAGATGCAGGTTTCATGCAAAGGGTTTAATGAAATTCCATTAGGGACAGATGAAAATACATGAAACAGTTTGTGTCAAAGACAGCCTTTACTTGGTTTCAAAAGAATGGGGACAAATGTTGTAAAATAGGACCAATGTTCTTGCTATGAGACAGGCATTGTGGGTCAGTTAGTAAAGTACCTGGGTTACTAGCGAGCGAGGAATCTACAAGTTTCTGACAGTCAGGCTGTGAGGCGCTTCGTTCCAGCGGCCGTCCCTGATGCTGCGGCACATTCAGGTATTGGCTGCCGTACGACGACGTAGGTTTCGGTGGCAATCCATTGGGAGGACCTCTCGAAGTACTCAGTGATACACCCTTTTGTGGAACACTTGGTTTGTTGGTTGTTTGCTGTAAACCTGGTCCAGACTGCCTCAAGACAGTGTACTGTCCGGACCTGTCAGCCGGCTTCAGGTGTGCAGGACACATAGGTCTCTGGCTTCTACCAACCTCTGATGACTGGCTTGTCACTGGCTTGTTCCTCACTTCCTGGGCAGGACGGGGATGAGCTGCAGACGTTGCTGCTGCTTGTTGCTGGTGCTGTTGGTGTAGCTGTTGTTGATATGGATAGCTCTGTGTTCCATTAACAGTCTGTGAAGACGATCCATCTCGCTGAGGATTAGAAAACCTCTGGGAGATCTGTTCTTGTTGTCTTCTCATGTACTTCCTCTCCAGAAGATCCCTTATCTCTGACTGGCTAAGTTTGCTAGTTCGTCCCGTGGAGCTTCCGGAATCAGATTCACGCCCATCCATTGAATTGGGTGTACTGGAACCAGAGGATGTCCGCATGTGGTCGACATTCAGGTTGGAATTTAATGATTTCTGCTTATTGAGATATGACTGGTACACATCTGCGTCTTTGGGTTTAGGATCTACTGGCTTTTTGTTCTTCCTCCTGGGAAGGGTCGCATAAATGTCTATGTTATTTTCTTGAGATCCAGAAAATTGACTTGAAGCATGAGAGGAAGATGACTTTGTGGAGAGATTACTGTCTGTGTGAGAATGAACCATTGTATGATTGTGGTTGAACTGATCAGAGTTGGACCGAGTCACTGCATGATGAGAATACACATCCTCCCGGGGCTCCTTCTGTAGGTTGTCCACAAGCGTGGAGGAGCTGCTCTGCCGATGATGCTGGGAGGAACTGCTACCCTGTCTTTCATGGTGCGACAACCCACTATCAGTTCGTAAGTGAGCCTTATTAGGCTGAATCTGAGATGAGGAACTAGAGCCCACAGAGCCTGCAGCACACTTCTGAAGTCTGTCTCTGGAACTGCTACTCCTAACCGAACCACCATCTTGACTTGATGTGTCTGAGTCACTGCTGTTCACAGTCAACCTAGAAGCACAATACAAGGTAAATAAAAAACTGCATTTGGCACATCATTACATAATATTTTGGCTAAGGAAAACTTGTTGGCTTCATTCGTGTGTTTGTTTTGTGCTAATTACTAACTGATTTAAATGAGTTTGGTTTCATGCAGTTTGCAGCAATACTCAATATCATGGTGGAAGACGCCAAAGTTGAGCTTGACACATTTTACCCATGTGGGGAATCAAACCAGGGTCTTTGGCCAACACTTAAACCACTAGACTATCAAAATTCCCATTAACAAAGAATGGACACTGGATAATTAATGCTATAAGAACATTTACTGAAATACCCTATACATTCTTGAGTGTTTGAAAAGTCTGAAGCAAGGGCAACAACTCCCACATACCTGCTGTTGTATTGTGAGTCAGTGGACCTGTCCTGCATGGCCCGTGTGTTCATGCGGAGTGTGAGACTTCTTGCCTTCAGGAGGCATGCGTTATGCTTCCTTTGTGCATAGACTAGCGACTGGTGGGTGATATTTTTCTGATTCATAGCTTCACGCAGACAACCTTTAAAAAAGTAGACATGTATTATACAAACTTTCCCCAAGATGCTATGAGCTTTTATTACTATTTTAGTCACTTCAAACCACTGATAAAAATATTAATATAGAAGAATGAATTCATTATTCATAAAAAGGTCTACTAGACAAAAAAAGAAGTTCATTGACAATGACATGTAATATATTGTCACCTCTAGCTACTGTCAATATGAATATCGACTGTCGTGACAAACAGAACTAAAAATAACATCATTTATCGACCAGCTGTTCCTTCAAATTAACATTATTAAAAATATATATCAAGCGTGAAAATCATTTGTATGCAGATTATGCTGCTCACCGGTAGCGCCTTCACAGAAGCGCTGAGCTTCCTCTAGCTTCCCATCAGTCTCAGACAGAATGCACTGGTCCATCAGATCATCTGACTTGCGGCATAGCATCAGGAACCCATCATTGCCAGCAGCAGCTGAAACACACAGGACCATAGGGTAAGCATACAGGTCAGGTCAAACAGAATACAGAGTAGGGCAATCATGAACATTTATACAAGTCTCTGATACGCATTTGGAAGTGTAATAGAAACATATAAGTTTGAAAACCATAGCAGTAACCATTTTCTCATTTCATTTTATTATCAGATCCAAATATGTGTGCCAGAAACAGAAGCTGTAAGAATTATACATTCAATATGGTCACTGGCTTTATTATGGCAGCCACATCAATAAAGGAAATGTGGTTATTAATACTATTATTATTATTGGATTTTATTGATATCATTGACGCTCACCTTCCCTCTGCACAGTGACGGTTATTGGTTCAGGCGGGGATGGAGCTGGGCTGGGGGACGACTGTGGCTGTCCAGGACGTCGCACCTCAACCACAGTTTTGGGAGCTTCCTGGAAAGGAGCAGGTGATGACCTGAGTGTGTCCTCAAAACTCCTCTCCTTGATGGGATGCAGAACCTGCCGGCCATGCAGTTGATCATGCTTCTGATGATGTTGATCATGTCCGATGTGTCCATTCACAGGTTGAGGACCCTGCTTGTGGACATCTGACATCTGGTTATCTTGAAGACTATCAGGACTGGAACTGGACTTCAAGCTGTGAGAGCGATCGTACATTGGGTGATGGTTATTGATGGTATTGGGAACTATCATACCTCTAGAAAGGAAGTACACGGAGTAAGGATTAACAGTTTCACTTCCAGTTGAGCTGGAGCTGTTCCGATCACTGCTGCCATACCCAGAATCTTTGTATGATCCTATGGACACATTGTCAAATGGAATCTCCACACTCAAGGCCTTCTTCCCCTCAGCATTCCGGCTTGCTAGAAGTCTACCCATCATACTGTCCGACTCAATGCTGCTGCCACTGGTGTAACTTGCATTACTGACAGAAGACCCCTGTCTCTGGACCCCTTGGTGCTTCAGGATGTTCTCAACCATACTCCGCTCAATATACATGATTGGATCGTCCACAAAATCTCCATCTTTGTTCTTCTTGTTCTTTCTCTTTTCGCCACTTTTGGCAGACTTCTTGGTCTTGGTTTTCTTGCCATCTGGTGTCTTGCTGGATGAACCTTGCTTGTCATGGTTGGGCACTGGAGGAGCTGGTCGTTGAGGTTGCCCTGGTGGTAGAGGGGCTGCTCTTCGGCTAGCCGGACCACCATCTACACAATCTCCTCCGTGTTGACCCTCCTGCCTGACGTTGGCCATGTTAGGTATGACGGGCATCGACACAGGTATAGGCACTGCCTTTTTGTTCAGTGGCTTGTTAACATGGTCTTTGATGTGGAGGTTCCCCATTGAGTTCTGTCTGTTAAGGACATTGATTTCCGATTCTGATCGATATTGTTCTGCCGTCACTAGCTTCTTCTTTCTGGGCAGTGTTGCAAGACCAGACTGGACTGGGCTGTGCGACATGTTGTCAATATTCTCATAGGTATGAGCAGACGGTTTTGGACGCACAACTCGGTGCTGGTTTGGGCTGACAATGTCCGAGTTAATGCTGACGGAGTCCTCTCCATTTGACATGGTGTTTTGATAAGCCATGGGATATTCCACAGAATTTGGCTGACTTGTTGGGGAGACTTGATACCTGACGACATCACTGCGGACTCTCTCCTTTCCCTTCTTGAAACTCTCCTTCCTATGGGCTTCATTCCCTCTTACCATGGCCTGTGTGACAGGCAAGTTGGTTGGATCGAAGTTGAGAGATGGTCGTCTGTATGGGTCCTTTGTTGACAGAGTGTAGTTATCATTACCATCCTCCTGAAGAGTGTGGAGGTCTCCCGACGACTGCCCGCCATACAGAATATCCCTCTCTGGATGGTAGCTGCCATTCACCATCGGCTGAGCATTGTTGGTTATAGGCTTTCCTGACATGGCATACAAGAAACTTGGCTGGCGTTTATGTTCAGCTTGAATCTGCTTGGCAGATGGTCGAGGTGCATCATTTTGCCAGTTCTCTGGTCCGGGAGTCACAGCCCTTCTGCCTGTATCAGTGTTCGCATGTTGGTCAGGATTGGGTGTCCTTGACCTTCTAGTAGGCATGCTCTTAATGCTTTCATGTGTCCTGTCCAAACCGCTGTCACTATCCTCGTATGAGGCTGTTGAAAAAAAGAGAAAACGTTGTACATGAATAATCAAAATCTAAAACATGACATTTCCTATTATCATCACTAGGAAAGTAATTTGTCTCTGCTCATTACACTTGTACAGAGAAATGATCTGGTCTCATCAGTAAGAATGTCAATGCTGTTTCATGTTAAAGCCACCAAAGTCAGGCCAAATTATAAGACAATAAATATTTGAGAAAGCCATAAGCAGTGATCCACGATATCAGGTTAATTTGTTTCTACATTGTTTTACGCCACACTCATATTCCAACTACATGATGGCAGCCTGTAAATAATTGAGACTAGACCAGGCATGCCATTGAGGTATGAGTGAGTGAGTGAGTGAGTTTGGTTTAACACCGCTTTTAGCAATATTCAAGCAATATCACGGCGGGGGACATTGAGGTATGAGGACATGCTATCAACCCAAGTCACTGGTCTTAGGTTGCTGGGATCCCATTCTAACTCGGAACCCCCATGGGGTTACTAGATTAATGGACACATAAAATCAGACAGATGACCACCAACCACCAACCATCTAAGAGTGAGTGAGTGAGTGAGTGAGTATGCTTTTACGCCGCTTTTAGCAATATTCCAGCAATATCACGGCGGGGGACACCAGAAATGGGCTTCACACATTGTGCCCTTGTCGGGAATCGAACCCAGGTCTTCGGCGTGATGAACTAACGCTTTAACCACTAGGCTACCCGACCGCCCCCAACCATCTAAGAGGCACTGCTTATGTATTGTGACAGGAATTCTACAGGGTGTCTATCAAATAGGTACTTACATGCAGGACAGGAGTATCCCTCGGCCATGGTCCTTTTCTTCATTGCCGTCTCCACGGGTACAGGAGTGGCAGCAGGGTTGGCATACAGCAGCAACAAGGGCTGGTAGCGCCCTCGCATGCACTTGTCCACAACATGGCTCCAGTTGGGACCAATCTGGCAAACAGAAAACAATCATGTTTATTGTATCACTGCATCAGATATTACAAACAGAGCATGTTTTATTACCTAGTGAACATATGTTCACTGAATAATCATGGTGATAATGGATTTATACCATACCTCCTTGACTGTTGCGTCGTCAAAGTAGATCCACACTTTGAGCTTGCTGTGGAACACGAAGGTGGAATAATGCTTGCCGTAGTAACACACTACACCGACCAGATGCAGCTTGGGAAGGGACTTCATGTCCAACAGCACAGAATGGAACACCTGCACACAGAATCAGTGTCATGTTACAATAACTTCACACAACACATTACAACAAAAATTAGTTGATATTATGACACTGGAAGTTTGACTATCAGAATCCACTTACATCTTGCAACATGATCGTTGTTCCAATGTTTCTGGCTACCTCAGTTGTCATTTCGATGCTTGGATGGTCAGAGTCCCAAACTAGTCCAACACTCACTGAAATTGTATAAACATAGTTTCATTAATATGAAACTCTTCAAAAACATAATATAAAACCTTATAAAGAGGATACATACAATAATCACTCCTTTCTTGACAGGCTAAGACTGCAAGTGGCCAATGGCTTCAATATGAACTCAGAAATAATGTGAGCAAGTTTAGGATTGTAGCAAAGGAAGATGCTTCAGCCAGACTCACCAACATCAGGGCAGCTCCTTAACGTTCTTCGAATCTGGACACTTTTCCCACAGTTACCCTGTAACACAGAAAAATAACTCATCAAGATAACGCTGACAATAGTTCCTAAGTTAATTGTACTATCCTGGTGTTATGTTAGAAATGATTAATATAATGTGTTTGCTATGATATATACTTACAGGGCATGCACGAATATCGCCCATGGCAACAGCGCTTCGCAGTAGAAGACCGAACCTGTCTGGGTGGAGTACATCACCGCTCTTCTGCATCAGGCGAGCCTGGGACCTATATCATCAAGATAAACATTATTAGTGAGGTGGAGATCCATCTTACACAACAACTGTGTGGAGATATTCCTGGAAAAAAGGCACACCCACAATGACACCAATTTGTATACCCAAGTAATTAATGTAAATTCATATTTAAGAAGTAATACAAAATAAAATCAAAGCAGAATGAGAACACGACATTCTAAAGATCTTACAAAGATCTTAAAAAAATCTTAATTACATCAGTGTTTTCAATATGATGGTGAATGAAGTACCAAGTTGAAGTGTATCAATGACAAGGTAAACACAGTTCAGTATGAAGTAAGTACTAAGGTAAAACTATGGTACTTACACAAGATTATTTGCAGTCACATAATGCACCATCTCCTGGAAGTTGTGTGGCTTGGAACTGGCTCCACATGGGCACACAATCTGTAAATGGCAACATTAAATTGTCAGACAGAGTGATTCAGTAAATCAGGATGAAAATCTCAGATGTTTTTGTGAGAAATCCTGGTCTGCCAATTGGGAAAAAGAACACAAAGACATTTCAGATTATTATTTTGTTCTACAAAATGCAATCTGAATGTGTTGCAATCTGTGTGGTGTTCTTTAAGCTAGTTTTTAAAGCCTTTTTCCTGCAAAGCTATTGTGTGCTTATTCATTGAGGAAATGAAATTTTAATGTTTTAGGCCAGCAGACCCCATGAACCAATCCTCAATGGGAATCAAACGTGAGTCTACTGCATAGAGAGAGTGAGCTATAACCACTCACCCACCCAACCATCCCTACATGTAAATAATTCCTCACCAAAAAGCAAATAAAAAATATAAAGTTCCCTCCCATGGCCAAAGCGAGCATCCTTTACAAAAATAAATTACATAGAATCAATAATCTACATAAAGGTCATTCCAATGATCAAACTGACATCATATTTATCATGCAATCATATGCTCACAGAAGTGAAAAAAATACCAAGCAAAACACAAAGACAAATCACTGCCAATGCAACTTTGTGAGTGTTTTATGGCAAGCTGTTGCTGGGCTATTTTGTTGATGGATACATCTGTGTATGTAATATGAAATCAATTTAGGTAAATCAATATTAATTACACAGAAGAAACTACTGCAGCAATGGGCATTATGGGTTGTACCCAATGGCCCCAGGCCTTTCCATCTGTCAACTTTATTGATGGCAAAGTTGATCAATGGGGATGGCTCACGGCGACATTTGACAAGAAATATTGAAAAATGACCAATTAGTCTCCCCTGACAGCTTTGACAGTTCCATGCTGAGGATAATCACAATGATCTCAGTCCACCTCCCTCCCCAACACACAAGCTAATAAGTCATGGCCAATTGACTCATATAAGAATTAAAATCAAATACAAAATGAATAAAAATGTTGTTTTCCTAACTGTTTGGGTTTTTTGTTATTTAATGCCGCACTCAGCAACATTCCAACTATATGTTGGCTGTCTGTAAATTATCGAGTCTGGACAATCCAGTGATTGATATCATGAGGATCTATCTATGCAATTGGGATACGATGACATCAACCAAGTTTGTGAGCCTGACAACCCCATCCCGTAAGTCACCTCTTACAACATGCATAGTCGTCAGCATGTGTTGCTGAAGACCTATTCTAACCCATCTCTCCACAGGTCGTTCCTTACTATGTGATGATCAATATAAGAAAAAGGACAAAGTGACTACACGACTCAAAGGATGGTGACCTGTTTATTGTATGAGTGACGTCATCAGCAACCATTGACTAAGTATATGAAGTTTTTTCAGGAGTAAGTATGACAGTTATTGGTCCTTGTTTTGAACCCTATTGGTTAAAAATCAAAAATATTACAGCACATCAAAGACTGAATATTGAAAAATTAATAGGGTGGATGCCATGGCATCATCACAGCTGCCTGAACTGTGTCATTACTGTCTGGTAGATGGCGCCACTCACCTGGTCGCAGACCGACATGGAAAACTTCTGGTGTGGTAGACAGTGGGGGGCTGTGCAGTCATCCTCGCTGTGGTCGTTGGCAATGTGGAGGTGGATGCGGCGGAGGATGTTCTCCTGCAGAAAATACAAAGCCATGTTGGTTATCTTGGTGAATAACAATCAGTCTATGATGTTAGATAGTACTGTCCTTCACAGAAAGAGGGTTAACTGGGGAAAAGCTATCAGTCATTACTGTCTGTTACAAACACAGGTTAACTTGGGCATGAGCAACTATGACAACCAAGCACAAATGCCTATTACAGTATACTAGCTCCAAGTTCAAGTAACTGTGACATATATTGTCAAAAAATCATGCATGTCCTTAGTGTTGAAGTTATTCAGTTCAGTGAAAGAACATAAACATATCTATAGTTACACTGCCATAAATACATAAAATATAATCTGTTATTATATGTGCAAGGTGACTACTGTAACAAGTAACAGTAACAAGTAACTATTGTAACAGGTGTCCTGTCCTGAGTGGGAGATTCGTGCAATAAATTTTCTTCTTTTTGCATATATTATTTTATTCATTTATTTTACAGAAATTGTGAAACAAAGAATTCTTTGTGACTTAATTTAGTCACAATGAATTCTTTGTTTCATAATTTCTGAGTTCTAAAGAAAATTAATCTTGAAAAGTTTGTAGAAGCATTATTTGCCATCAGATGCTGAGGATGAAATGTTCTTATTTTCCCATCTTGTAATACAAAATTTTCAAAAAATCCCACAGTCAAACAGTGACATTGTATCTCTGAATCCCCCTCATTGAAGCCTAAGGTCTGATCAAATATTCCCTCAATTCTCAACAACAATGCATATGATTTTGGTGTGTTGTGGTTATGGCACAAAAATTGCAGAGTAAATACCTGTCCTAATATTGATCCGTTTACCTCAGGCAAAGCCTGTAAAGGGCAAATGGTTTGGGTGAGAGATGTAGCGGTTGAGTGTCGTGACGTTTGGCTTTCACAGGGACAAACTGACCGTGACAAAGGCCGTATTTACCCCACCAGCCTCTCCTGACTGGCGGAATGTGTACGATAAATACACCTCAATGTTCCAGGTCACATGACTTGATGTACAAGTGTCGCGGTGGAGTAAAAAACATGGTGCAGTCTGCGAACCTGTGTTTGTGTAAACGCTGAGGTTAACTTGCACTGGCAGAAAAGTGGTACATTTCTCTACCGAGTATTTCTGTGTAAATGTTTTGATGTTGTTGTGATTACATTCCATTAGGATTGTCATGCAAATGTGTCAGTGTGCTCTGAGTGGCACTTAAACGCCACTGAATGTAGTGAACTTGCCTATCTTTTATAAAGGGTCAAATAGGGAGTACCATCATTTGTCATGTGAGATTGTGTGTGGTCCAGTGTGCACAATGTGTGTGACTATGAGTGGGTCACTGCACTACACCCTGAAGTCAGTACATAACACATGTTTAGTGTTTGGAGACATGTGTATAGACACACCTGTAGGTGCACTTGTTAGGCTAGCGTATAGTACTGAGCTCTGAGGTACATGACACATTATTCTGACAGTCTTCTGTGTCTCTCCTGCCTACTGTGGCCTTTCATGAGCTTTACCAATGTGTTTTTTACATGTACCCGGGTACTGTTTCTTGTATAATCCATGTCAAACTTAAAATAACCATCCTTTAATCATTCACTGTATATACATCCGGCCAATGGTAGTGATCCCACAGAGGTGGATACAATGTGTGTTCTGTGCTGGGAATGAGCACAGTAAAACTACACCCAACAATGGTAACCAAATACATATGCACATCTGAATGACACAATCCGAATACAATGAAACTTTGTTTTCTTTATTTTATGTCCCTTTAGCAATGGTTAACAATTTTAAATTTTAAATTGTATGCTACCTCACACATGCACTACAGCAAATGATTAATTCAAGGTAAAACTCTAATCAATTTTATTAGGATCTTGCATGATCACGATTCTCTTATTTTCTTATTCCAAATTGTCACAAAAATGAACGTATAATTGAATAAATAATTTGAAAAATACCTGATGGAACAACCAAGTGTTCTACAATGCCCCCTGGGTCATAATCAATATTGATGCAGAGCATCTAACTTCCTAGTACCAAGGAACTTAATCATTATCTCAACAGGTGCCCCTTCGTTATAAGACCACATTACCCATCATCATTCATTATACAGCAGCATGGCACGCAACAAGATGAAACATTGACTTTTTTATCACTTAAACACTGTACTCAGTTGCACATAGAGGATATAATGAGTATCCATTAAATAGTGGGAATTAAATATAAATATACACAATCAGTACTTCTACCATGATATCTCTATACAATGGCTGTTTTGCCTCCTCGTTTCCTAGTATTGCATAGTAGTCAAAGTCCACGTAGCTAATAATTATGAAATAAATTGTGCTTTGTATTTTCATAAACTAAACTACTAAGTTGCTTTCAGAAGTAAAACATGAAATGAACAACATGTGCAATGCATCCATATATTGACTGAAATATACAACTGACTGAAAACGACAATATAGAGGAAAGGAATTTGTTGAAATGTATCTTAAAACATACTATACTACTCAGAAGATTACACCATCACAGAAATCACAGAATATGAAAGAGCCAGGTGTTCTTTAACTTCTTTTGAGTAGTATAGAAAAGATCAGAGAGAATTTCATAATTTTCAGAAATCAAGACTTGCCAAAAAAGCATGCGCTTGCATGGGATTTTGGGGTGTATCTGGTTTCTGGGCCTTTTTAACCTTTAAGACTACCTGATGATGAAAGTAGGCTAATTTCCTGACCCTAGTCTCTTGTCAGATTGTCATGTGAAACAGCTTCAAGACTCACCGACAGTCAACGGGGTACACATATTACGACAATGAGTAGCCGTCATGTCACAGTTTAGGCTGTCATTCATAGCAAACTGGCTATTATTTGGACAAATTCTACTTACGAAGCACTCTGCAGCATCGTCCATGTGACCCAGCTGAAAGCGCTGCTGGTTGGCGAATGTTTCCGCCAACGCCTTGCGGAGCGCATCTGGGTGGAGGGATGTCTGATCACTGTACTGTAGCTGTGTGAATATTACCTGAAAATGTTATGAGAAAAATATATCAAACAATCTATACATTGAAGCGCCACAGTAAATACAGTAGTGGGGTTTTGGTCATTTTGCCCCGTTTCAGACAGTATGTTATCCTGAGAAGGCTTAATCAAAACTTACTGCTTACTACTCGGAGAAGAATTTGCGACCAGTGTCTATTTTCACATAAAGATATGAAGCAATTACTTGCTTGTTTTTGTTCAGTGTGATCTAGTGTTTTTTTAAAATGCGAATATTATTATTTTGATGATTGATCAGTTGGGATGATTGAATCAATCATGAATTTCTTACCATTTCCAAATACAACAAGAACTCAAGATTATTATTCTTAGTTCATAGGAAAAGCTTATGAATTTGAAAAAAAAACAAAGTCATAAACATCCAAACACTGAAATTCTTTTGCACATTTGTCCTGTTTGTTTCACAGCCAAACCTCTCAATTGAACTAATTTGAGCTATTCAAGCAACACATCGGCATATCTAATCATGCTAATCTACAAGTTATCTCTTCTCCCCGGAGCCTAAATGTCACTCATTAATAATAAACACTGTGTGTGCTGTGTAACAGATAATTCAAGTCTGCCAAAATACTAGCTATGGCTGGTATGCACGCCATTTGAAGTATTGGAGAATAACATTCACTATTCATAACTATGTGTGAACACCGACATGGAGGTGTTAGTTACTGCTTGAGGAACAAAGACAATGAAGTGTGTGAACAAATATTTTTTAGATTTATAGAAATTAAAAGAAGACGAATAGAAATCAGATTTTCCCAAATTAATATGACCAAAAAATGGATCCTATGAACTGATGTGTGAATGAGTGAGTAAAGCATGTGTTAAGGTTATATTTACCAATATTCCAACACTATCCTAGTTCTATCCAGTAGTTTACCCCACTGCCCCTACTGATCACACTAACTGATGAAAACAACATATACTACTCAAAAGATGTTGAAGAACACCCAGTTGTCTCATATGACTAGAAAATGTCTTACCATAGTCATTTGAAACTATTGGGTGTTGTATAACTTCTTTTGAGTGGTATAAATGGCAGTAATTGTGAATTTTTTTCTATTGCAAGTAAAGAGCAAAGTTGTTTTTGTAAATTTTATAAAGTTTCTTTAACACGTTAAATCTTGTTGCTCCCTTAGTAAACCACAGGTGTTGGCTGGAGAGTTCAACTCCATCCATCACAGGTCTAAACACTGATCAGCGAAGGCATCACAAATACATGGGTCTCCATTTCCACCTTGCCGAAGGTTTGTTTAACTTGACAGTTAAAAAAAGATGGATGAGTTCCTTCCAGGATTAAACTGTTTGGAAAACAAATTAGACTAGTGGTTCAACCAGCACCAGCTTCCCCTGTTCACTATTTGTCAGGAAAACGGCGACATCAATACACGGAAACCACCAGAGCATATGACGATGTCGTATTGATTGCCGAGTTGCACTAACAGTAGAGGAGCTTATTATTTATTGATTGCTGTCCTCTTGCCAAGAGACAAGTGGGCCCAATCCAGACACGTGTAGATCAAATATCATATAATAGCATCAACGACCTAGCCGCCTTGCAGGTAAGAGAACACGAACAGCTACATTAGCGTTGGAAGGGGACACATTTGCCTGAACGTGTACATAGAAACATCACCTTGTCATCAGATAATGCAAATATCTGAGAAGCAACCAAATAGTTTACCTGACATGTATCAATAGTTACAAAGAGAATCTTTTTTGAATTTTCAAATACCCTTTGTCATCATACTGATACAGATCTTCGAAATTGGAAAACTTAATTTAATTTAGCTCTTTTCTTGTTGTATAATTCTTTTTCTGTATGGACAGCGTAAGTTTATCAATAAAAGAACATGAGGATGCCTACAATGATTGAATGAAAGAAAATTTAAAAAATCTGTCATTGGTTAGATATGTGCTAGCAATGATAAATCATTTAATATTAGCATTATAAATAATAAATGATTAATGTCTTTACATCAAGCAACAACAAATAACATTTGGTTTTTATGTTCCTACACAGTTAACAACACGATAAACCTTTCAAGTTGACAGGTGTCTGAACCATTTCGGAATAATCAATTCAGGAAACATATTCTCTTTCAAATCATTTAATGAACAGGAACGAATATCTAATTTCTTTCTATGCAATTACCAAGTTATCAAGGTAATTCCCCATACTCAAACAATAACAATTTGAGCTGTGCCCTTTATTTTTCTATCATAAGCAGGTCAATCCGATCTCAGTGGGACGCCATTAGAGCATTCAGGCCGTGTTGTGATGTTCAGTCACCAGTATCCCCACGAGACGTTTATGCTCATTGCCGTCCTCATGAAAACAACAAGGACAGGCCCAGTTCATGCACTAGTAGGTAGAGACACATGCCTGTCTATGTAGCTACTCGATTGTAAAATTGCAGAGGCATTAAAAATAGAAAGGTTAATGTGAAATATATCACACCTGATTAGATTCTTTGTACGCTATCTTAGCAATCCCAATAATCAGGGGACCTGGACAAAGGTAGGCTTTCCATGTACAACATAGCAACACCGCTCATCACATGCTATAAATACTAGTCCAGTCTGTAGTAGATCCCCACATAGACCATGTCATTGTCTCATCCATGTCATTATGCGTTATTTTTACTTCAAGCCAATTTATAACTTGGTTCCAGGCCACCAAAGTATGTTCTTCACGTTACTTCACTCCTGAACCGTGAAGATCTGGCTTAGTATATGTCTTCAACAACCCATGCTTGCTGTAAAAGGCGACTATGCTTGTCGTAGGTGGCGACTAACAGGATTGGGTGGTCAGACTCCTGACTTGGTTGATGCATGTCATTGTATCCCAATGGTGTAGATTGATGCTCATGAGGTCAATTACTGGATTGTCTGGTCCAGACTTAATTATTTACCGACTGCCGCCAAAGACTTCGCTTTCTGTGGACATCTAAAGTGGAAATTGTATTTTCTGGTTTTGGGTAACATGGTTTTTTTCACGAATTGCTTATACTTTGAGTGCTACATCAACTGTATTAAACTAACAAATGTTATTTTTAACCTACTCGCAACACTCCCAGTAGATAATAAAGGCTGTTCTCTGGAGGAAGTTTATACCAGTATATACAGCCTACCCTTGTTGAGTTGTTAGTGGAAAGTGGAAAGGCTTACCTTCAGTGCACAGAATATACAGGAGTTGCCCATGCAGACGTGGCCTGTGAGGCATCGGTAGCTACGGCGAAACACATCCAAGTGCCAGAACACCTGCAACAGAAACACAGACATAGTAACAATGGTCGGCCAGGGGTCCACAAGGAACACTCCACTACATTCAAACACTGTAGAGAGTCTCAAGAGTCAAAAACAACTTATTTCAGGCATGATGAAATTCACTGTACATGTGGTATGAATACATTATTGGCATGCTACTTATTACACATTGTCAATGTGGATTCACAGGTGAAACAATGTTACCGTAACTACACTCCTTAACATTTGCACAAGATAGAAGTTCTAAACCTGGGGGTGAACTGGCCATAATTTGTAAATAGGTGATATTAACAGGGAAATAAAATACTGAACAGTGATATCACATGAGGATTTAGTGGTGAATCGTGTTTTGTTGGGTAAGCGCAAGCTTGATGGGTTTCCTTGTTCTATAATTAACTGTGTTTAATGATAAACTTGGGATTAGGAAGAGGATGTATTAAGATAACTAGCCAATCAAAGCAACTTTCATCATAGTAAGGAAATGTAATAAAAGAAGTGCTGTCTTCACATAATACAACAAACAAGGCCATTAACCAAAAACCTTTTTCTTTAATTACAGACATGATATACTTTAATGTGCTTCAAGAAAATCGCACAACACAGCCAATCGAGTTGCAATAATTATATACATAACTTTGGCTGCCAAAATATTGCTGATTTGCATTTTTATTCAACCGTTTGTGAGGTTACATTATATCACTTTTTTACAACCAGCGGATGTGAGGACTTGTACTTAATCCGCACCTTAGCAGCACGATCAAGAGGGCAGCAAGCTGACACATACACTTGAAACACACAATAAAAGGGCAACTTCTTCGTTGCCTTTGGGTGCGGTCAGGTCCTAATCAGTAATTTGCCAATGTTGCAATTGTTGTGTGGGACTAGTCACTGGATGAACTTCCTTCTAAAAGCACAACTCTTTTCATTACAGCGACACCTCTATGCTTCTCCTAGCAGCAGAACACACACTCCTGGTATGGCAGTAGTCATGACAAGTTCTTTATACCTGATACAATCAACCTGACCACTACTTTCAATAGCTATACAATTTTTTCCACTAATTCTGCCGGCACTGTATTATTAAGTACAGGGTGATAAATTTCATCTGGCAAAAAGCTGTTGCAAATTTGACTTAAATCATCTTGATTTTATATCATTCTTGATGAAAACATGTACATCTACACATCGCAATTTAGAATTATTTAGGTAAAATGATCAATTTTAGAAAATACAAACATCAAACTATTGTATCATGCCTGAGATAATGTTATAAATATCTAAACATTTCTGGAAATTGTGGTTTAAAAATGGTTCCTCGTGACTAATCCTTAACCTGCAAATACTACAGTTGCTATCATTCAACAGAAACTGACAAAAATTACATTTTCCTCACTGAAACTACCAACTTCTACAATTTCCACAACATCAATTTTACATTCAATTAATCATTGAAAGTTGTCAAGAAAGTCCAAGCAAAGAACATATGGGACAAGATGATAATGATGACTAAACAGACAGGTTCGTAAGCAGCACGTGTCACCATCCTCTATACTCAGCAATAAACATTAATATTTAATATTTATCCTATAACAGCTGTTTCACGATATGGAAATCAATCTCATGACAACAACAAAGAACGTCCTCCCTCCTAATCTACAATTCTAATTAGCAGTTTCATGTTTTGTTCAAAAATAATCTATCATACCTGTACACAAATTTATTAACACACCTAAAACATATATCTGCAATGTTGAAGAAAATATGCTTCAATTAACAATAATATTTTCATAGAGGTAAAACATTAACTGCACTGCTATATATTTCTTTGTAATTCTCTAGAACTTTCCATTGTCTATTTTCCTGTTGCCATGGAAACCGTTCAGATCCACATAAGAGAGTCTTTATACGCATTATAGGAAATCCCGAAAACGTCATTTTCAATAGACAATTAATAAGAGAACTGGCAACACAGTAACAGCTGACTCACTGTCCCCAGAATGGCCAATGATTAATACATCTTCACTTACTAAATAATATCATAGGAAATCCCCACCTACGGTCAGCCCCTTATGGCGCCCAGTTGGCAAGGCAACCAGACAAACAAAGATGCTCTTCAAAGCCGGCTATTTATAGTCATTGATCTGTGCACACTGCACTGACAATACCTGACAATGCGTCTTATTGTATTTCCTAACAAGCGTCAATCAATGACCCAACTGGGGTTCACCTCGCACTGCCTGAGAGCAGACAAAGGGATACACTATTACCTGATTATATTGCTCGAGACATTGCTAAATTACCTGCACACAAGCCACAGACAGATCTGCTCAGGAGTTCCATCAAAGTGCATAATTAGTGTCAAATTAAATACTGAGATTCAACCCTCTGTGTTATCATATCTGAAACTTGGGATTACCTGCATTGTTCGTGTTCAGGTAATTCATAAAGGTACAGGTATAAAATGAAAGCATATGGAGAATTTGAATCATGATTCATTCTGCATCACAAACCATCAATGATTAATAGGAAACACAATCGTTAGATAGCACCAAAAGGTATTCAAACGAAATCTTTAATGTCAGTGTGTGCAAACACCTAAATCAATTTTTTTACTGCTCGATTCAAACACTTGCTCAGTTGTGTAATGCCTCCAACAAGTGGTGGAGGGCATAACTCCACTTGGAACACAACAGTCTTTCATAATGCCAACCAACATTCACGACAGTATTGAAGATGTAATGACAATTATAAATCTAAGGAGGCCACAATGACACTCAGCTAAGCAGTTTCTTGAAAGGTTCAGTGTAGTTTCAAGCTTTCTGCACTATTTTATTGAACTTTTTTGGCCACTTAAACTGCAGATGCTGAGGGTCAAAAACGCCAATATTGACGCTGTCTTTTTATTTCATCTTAGACTCCTCAAATTACTGACAGATGGAAAGCAGAAGCTTGCAATTTTATTTTTTAAATCTTGCCGGCACTTTGAAGCAAGAACAATGGAGTGTTTGAAGGCGTCTGCAAGTGAATGAAGTGGAACAACCAGTCCAGCCACTGTGGAGGTATTTAACAAAGGTAGTTTATCCCTGGAGCAAAGACAAAATGGCCGACTGAGTCAGTGTCACGGTTGAGGGATTCAGCAGTGGGACTCAGATCAGTGGCTCTACCCAAGATGCAACACTAGCTATACATTCATGTGGAACATGTGAGAGGTGTCCATTATTTACAGTGGTCCAGAATAACTGAAACTAACACCTCCCTGACTAACAATGTAAAGTTTTATTAAACAAATAACAACCTCCAGAAGACTATATAATGTTAGCAATAACGGCAAATTTCAATTCACAAAAGTGTGGAAATTGATCTGTATGCTTCAAACCGTACCAAACTGTGAACCATGCATTATTTACTCCTCCCAAGCACTGTCAAGCAGATTAAACTGTCGCCTGTCTGCACAATTAATCTTTCAAACTGCATCATTAATTTCCTTACCACCTAACTAAATATTGTAAAAATCACCTTGCAATCAGCCACGAATATCCCTACAGACTATGTTAATAATAGAAAGAATTGAGAATTTGATTCAATTAAAGTCTTTATCAGACTTCATACACTGTTAAAAACTACATGCTGTTCTTCAAAGGTGACCAAGGCATGACTATCTCAGGTTCAGACCAAAGAGTGTTTTTAATCAATCACAGGAAGGTAACAATATTCAGAGAAATTAAGTGTAACAGGTGACAACAAAGACACGTGTGCAGGACAATAGCTGGATTTCCTTGAAAGTGACCTCCATCTTGCAACCCCAGCTGGACAATGGACCAGGGGGAGATAACCGTAACCATACACCAATGGCCTGGGGCTATTGTAATTAGCAGGTGCTTGGTCAGTCCTGGCCTTTATGCTGTGGCCACAGTGGGCGTGGGGATAGGCCTTTTCAAAAGAATAATACCTGCCCAGTAAAACCTCTTCTCATTTTGTGAGAAAGGGGAGGGTAAATACGGGAATTTCAAATGACATGTGATTGGTTTTCTTGTTCAGATTATTATCCAGCCTAAGAAACGTGCCCTGTAATAATAAAATTGGCTGGACCTGTACCTTTCGTGTTTACTTATCATTGAAAGTGTTTTGACAGGTAATCAAATGTCAAAAGTTTGAAGAAATTTATTGCTTTATATAGCTTAAAATGGAGTGTATCAAATTAATCCTGATGTTATTTTTTGACATTTGGTTACATTAATTCCCCAAGCTGTGTTTCAGCTGTGATAATTGGCAAGACATGGAAGAGAATTATTTTCTAATTTCCATTTTGAATTTGTTGAAATATGGAAAAATTACATGTGTTTACCATGTTTACAGGTATAACCTGATTTAATAATTGCAATAAAATTTACGGGTTGGTCTGGTCGGTAATTTTGTTCCATAGTTCACAGTAAATTCAACATAATTTTATTTCACATTTTCTTTTTCACCTGGACCGATGTTTAACACATAGTTAGTTTTCCTCTCGAACTAAAAAAAGAAAATGATAAAACTGCAATATTCATCATCATACCCTGAATGACTTACATGTTAACTACAACAAGCCAAATTTGTAGGTCTTGACAGCTTAAAGTTTTGCTATTAAATTGTTGCACTGGAGCATGACCTTCATGTCAAAATGTCATAGCTGGGTCCATGACTGCCATGATTGCTTGCCTTAGTGCAACATGACAAAGCCCAGGCTTACCATGGAGGGGTCAGTCAGATAATTGTGGCAGTAAAGAGGTGCTGATAAGCCTTCTATTATTGGGAGCTCTGGTTTCAACACACTACACCACAGCAACAAACTCAAAATTTGGATAAGAAGCTGTGAATTTCTGATTGCACATGCATAACATGGCATATTGATCCTCCAGAAAATTGACTTCTAAAGAAGCAATACACGTTAAATCCTAGGCCAAAACCATAACAATTGATATTTCAGACAATGGTCAGTCGTGTGACCATCTGCTTGC